CGTGCCCTTTTTTTACACGTAGGTAATTCACACAGTCTGAAAAATTCAGGAACAATACTTACTTTTTAAGCCTACATTCATCACATTAAAATCTATTTAGCTGGTCGCGGTTCAATATAATATGATCGATTTTTTTATATAAATTGATTTGTACTTTAACACATGAAAATAAAATCTACATCATTAACTTTAAAATGTATGTTATGTGAGATAATCTCATTATTTTCTCGCCTCTTTTATTATTCTTCTTGTATCAATAAAGTATCCGTATTTAATTGACCGTGGCGGCTTTATTTATTTATTAACCATTGTTGTGCAATTAACATTGTCAATTCTCTCGTAAAATGGGAGACATTGGCAATGCAGCGCAGACAATGGTATTGATCAAGGCTTAGCACTCGATCACAAGAAGTAAGACTTCTTTAGAAGGATTATATTCGTCGGTGTTTATTTACTCGAATAGATTGAATAAACAACTTTCAACGGTTAAATATTAGTTTTTTTAAGTGCAACTGTAGTACATCTAAAATAAATTTTAAACGTATTATAAATAAATCGAAAATAGGAGAAGCCAGAGGAACAGCACGGATCGCTGACGATGCCAGTTCAAGTCCTGCCCGAGTCGAAAAATTTTTTGAATTTATTTTCGATTTTTAAATTATATAGTGCCTTCATGTGCAATAACATGTGATAAATATTAAAGTTTTCAAATAATAATAATATTTCAAATGTTTTACATCTAAGATAAATATTAAATTTAATACATTTTTAAATTTATTAAAAAAAGTAAAACATTTGAAAACTTTAATATTTTTCACATGATGGAACTATATAAATTATAAAATTAATTATAATTTGAGTAAATCTTATCAATTGGTTAGAGCAACAGCACGGAACGCTGTTGGTGCCGGTTCTTGACCCGAGTCATAGATTCTTTATTTTTTTTGCCATTTATTGTATATTTTTTAAATAATCAATTTTAATTTTGTTAATCATTTTCCATCCAGCTCAAACCGATGATCTCAGTGTTCCGTGTCGTCCCTCACATACATACACTCGACTCTCGCGCATTGTAATTTCAAACCTATGGTCGTGGATACGCGTGTTTTTTTTCGTTATTTTTACATAAGTGAAAAATAAATACGTATGATACAAATACACGTCCTCAATAGTAGGTACCATTTAGAGGTGACATTTTTCAATTATCTAAGTTCTTGCCTTGAATTAAAGATATAACTAATTTGCAATTAAATTACGCAAGTTAATAAAATACATTATAATGTTGCAACTTGCAGGCACTATTTCGTTATGGTTATTGTTTTCGAAAGCGCTTATTATAAAAATAAATTAAATTTGCACCGTTTTTGTTGGAACAGGTGTATTTTCTTTATTCATATTATTCTACATATATAATCTAGCAATTAAAATGATTTACATTTTAACACTAGGCTTTAAGATCTTAAATCCATCATGTTGTTTCAGCGCGGGGTGGTGGGCTAAAATGATAATTGTCTTTTCTGTTTTAAAACTCTGGAATACTACAAAAAAAAAAGCAAAACATTTTATTCACTCGAGATACGAAACTAGAACTTCGTCATTGCCCAGTGTATTGGGCCGTGTAGTTAAATTATATTAAATAAACATTTATTTGCTTATCCATAAAGAAATTGCCACAATTAAATAAAACACTTTAACGGTTTAAAACGCGATATATTAGTTAAACTTATTTGAAAATGATTTTTAACTTCGTCTCCCCATGACCACAGCTGCTGCAAAGCCGTCGGGCCGAAGTTAAAAATCATTTTCAAATAAGTTTAACTAATATATCGCGTTTTAAACCGTTAAAGTGTTTTATTTAAATGTGTACTACTCGCGTAAACTATAGACAGTGTTTAAATTGGCACAATCTATTTAATATAGATATAGATGTATATCCTAAAGAAAAACCTGTATGACATTTTATAGATACTTTATAGGTTCCCACGAGTGAAGTTTTATAACTGCTAAAACCAGTTACATGAACATGCTTTAAACTTTAAAAAACGAAAGCGTTAATTACATTTTATTTCACGACATCGAACCCGTTGCTCTTGAGCAAAGGAGTTTAATCAACTGATACTTGTTTAGAGCAAGTAGCTTCAACTGTGAATTGATGTTTGGTAGGACACATAATAAAAAATAATCGGATCGGATGTTTTAATAAAAAATATGTATGCTACGTCGTGTACTTTGGTTTATCTAGGCGTCACATAAAATAACTATAACTAATAGTGCAATACGAATGTTTATTTTAAAACCAGTACAAACATACAATTGCAAAATGCACTTCTTGTCAGTCCACCGTGACTGATCCTTGTATTACTGTCATTACGGATTTCACACCACAGATAATATTCAGTTACTCGGGAAATCACAGATTATGCCACGCAAAAAGTTTCATCGCTAATGGGAAAATACGAGAAAGGAAAATTCTTAATGTAATATATAAACACCATCACATTACTTGGTAATAGTAGACATAAATAAAAGGAAGTACATATTGATCTGCAAATAAGAAGTAACAAAAAAAAATGTTTACAAAATGCAACTCAGCAGCTGTAGGGTCAATTGTTACGTAAAAATAAAAATAAATTAACTATTCTGTTCTTAGACAACTAAAAAATATTAAAATAAAACACTTTTAATGGTTTAAAACGCGATTTATATGAGTTAACTTATTTTAACTACGACCGCGCGGGTACGTGACAACAGCTGCTGCACGGCATCCCAAACGTCGGGATGAAAAGAAAGTATTTATAATTTTTTTTTTATCGTTAAATTGTTTAATTTCAATACTTACTATTCACATACTGTCTGTAGTGTCTTAAGGGAATGGCGTCTACTTTATTTGATGTAAATATAAATGAAACTTAATTATTTACTTTTCGAAACTTAACCGTAAGAGCACAGAGCGAAAACAGCATAGAAGGGCTAGCTAGGTACCCCTCTTTCATAACTTACGCTATGGTTAGTAAAGTAATACTACAAAATTCTATCTGAAACCACAAACCCACAACTATGTCCTATTAATAAACACATTCTTAACAATTGCTATGCAATCGTTTTATATTACACTGTCCCTAACAACACTAAAAAACTTAATCAAGATAAAAAATAAAATACTATCTATAGTTTACGAGAGTAGTACACATTTAAATTTTTGTTGTATTTGTTGTTAAATAAAACACTTTAACGGTTTAAAACGCGATATATTGGTTAAACTTATTTGAAAATGATTTTTAACCTCGGCCCGACGTTTCGGATCGGATAAACAGCATACCGGCAAACGCGAAGACACCGTTAGTCAATTCTGTAAGGACCCGGCCAGTTTCGCCAAATACCAACTCTTTAGTCTCCCGGTGACCACGGGTGCTGCAAAGCATCCGAAATGTGGGGCCGAAGTTAAAAATCATTTTCAAATAAGTTTAGCTAATATATCGCGTTTTAAACCGTTAAAGTGTCTTACTTAAAAGATAAAAAAATTACAATGGAATTTCAAGTAATCACAAATTACCTATATAATTATTAGTTCTATTGAATCACTATTATATGAATATTTTGTTTATGTCCTGAATTTCAGACAAAGTCTAACTAAGAAATTTCAAAAAAAAACTATAAATTTATTAGAAAAAGTTGGACCCGGTGGGGATCGACTCAAGACCTTATGATTATTAGCTACACATTGCTACCATTAGTCTAACGAGTGCGTCAAAAGAACATCGTCGGTCGTATTCAAAACTTGCGTTAGTTAGTCGAGTATACTATATATATATGGATAAAAAAGATGTTATTTTTCTCGTGTTTTCTGCTTGACATCGAAACTCAGTACATTATATTTAAGTGCAGTATCAAAAACAAATTACCTACATGCTGCATTGCTGGTACTAACAGCATCAATTTATTACAGCTATCCGACAAAACACCGTTATAGGGCTCTCGTGCATGGTTGTCATTCCATAACATAATAAGTTTTAAGCTAACTCAATGGGCGGCCGTATTTTATTGTAACAATCGTTAAGTGCGAGTTAGTAGATTTTTGATAAATTGTCATTGAAGGGTAAACTGTAACCTAACGCGTTATTTAACAAAGGTATTGTTTTTCATATTTTTATGTAGACTTTCTTACATTATTTTACATTAAAACACTGGATTTAAATACAAAAACACTTTAACGGTTTAAAACGCGATATATTAGTTAAACTTATTTAAAAAATATTTTTGACTTCGGCCTGACGTTTCGGATGCTTTGCAGCAGCCGTGGTCACGGGGAGGCATCGGTGTACTACTCGCAACTAGAGACAATATTTAATTAAACTCCCTCTAGTTTACTTAGTAAAAACCAAATTTTCACGCCAAATCAATAAAATCATTTTGATGTCTAAATAAGGACGGGACGTAAGTAAAGTCAACGACAATAGAAGGTTGAAATTCCACTCATGCACGATCGCTGTAGAGCGTTATAAACGTCGAGTTTAATAATGACAAAAATTAAAAAAAGCCGTCATTAAAGTGATCTGAATATTGATATCGTTTCTTTATCCCTATCATCTGTGGCAACAACTTCACTCTATAAACGGTCATGACTGGGTCTCCCATGGATGGTTTAAAACGCTAATTATTTCATCATAGAAAAAAAAATAAGTTAGTGACAACCTTTAATATTGAATCTGATAACTTTGAACCGATGATAGCTGCACTTGCAATATAGAAATTAGCTTTCATGTATCTGAACTGTACATTATAAACGACTGCATAGTGTTACTTTAGTTAAATGCAATTTTTAAAATTGTTACATATTTTGATGAGTATAGGTCTTTGTAAATTAATATTTTAAATTATTTACATAAGAGCGCAAGCGTTGCAGCTTCTTAAGGACATGTGTAATATTAAACTTGGGGGAAGACAACAGTGGATAGCAACGTCAGGAAAATCTGCACAATCACCTGCAGGAATATCGAAGTTCAGGTCAGATCTTGGTAATGGTCTTGGTCTTGGTCTTGGTCTTGGTCTTGATTTGGTCTTGGTCTTGGTCTTGGTCTTGGTCTTGGTCTTGGTTTGGTTTGGTCTTGGTTTGGTCTTGGTTTGGTCTTGGTTTGGTTTGGTCGGGGGGGGGGGGGGGGTTTGGTCTTGGTCTTGGTCTTGGTTTTGGTCTTGGTCTTGGTCTTGGTCTTGGCCTTGGTTTTGGTCTTGGTCTTTTGTCTAATTTCAGGCCAAATTGGACACAATTTAGCTGGATGGGCCATTTCACCTGCGAAAACATCACATACTTGTTTGTAATCTTCTCCAAAAACGTGTATATTTACTTAGTTACCTGTATTAATAAAGTATTTTTATTAATAAACATATAACATTTCCCTTAGAGCCACATAGCTGTTATCTCATACCAGCCAACAGCAATTCAATTGAGCTTGTTAGTGGTCAAGTTTTACATCCGTCGGTACCGTTAAATGGAATAGGTGGTTCATGTAGGGCTACTCTTCAAAAACTAAGGCATGGAATTTTACAAGCTAAAACAATATAAAGCTTATTCACGAATCTCTTATTAAAATTTATAAAATATCCTAAAATAATAAACTACCTAGTTTATATTTAAATGAAACACTTTTGCACTTTATATACAAATTTATAAACGCGAACCGTATATCGCTTTTAGATGTTGTGTAGTCGTTAAGTGTAGCAATATTTCGCGTTTTAAACAATTAAAAGTGTTTTATTGAAATAGTTTTACTAATTTTGTAGGTTCTAACTATACTAGGGAATTTTAAGACGCTCTGATCATCCCTGGTTTGTTTCATAGCTTTTTATTGCAATGTGTTAATGAAACAAGTTCTATTTAAAATCTGTCCTTTTATGATCAGAAAATGCGGGCGTCATCTCATAATTAACTTTTAATTTAAATGTGTATGCTGGTTTGTGTTTAATTTCGTAAGTTTCACGCTCTAGTAGTTTAATCGGAGAATTATGTAAAGAATTATAAGGAACACTATCATTAAAATATAAAATACAACAATATCATATAGTACATACAAACAATAATGCATGTAAATTTTTTTATATACCTAAGTATTATCGCAAATATTCCGGTCAAAAAACTGCACGATAGTGTTAACTTTAGTAATTTTAGTTTAAATATATGCTTTATTTAAAATAGAGATAACTATATGATGAAGTTATTATGAAATGCCATTTTTAGACAAATTAATTTTGTTACGAAACTCTAATTATGAATATTCGGTAGCCAAAGCGGAAGCTGTAACTTGCAAATCATTTTAATTGATTTCATCTGTAACTGTTAGAAAGCAAATGCATAATAACAGGTAGCAATTAAATTAATTGATTCGCTATAGGCTTTCGTTTACGAAGCGATTTTAATATCAGCTTAGGAACCCGAGGAAATTTTCTCGCTTTAAAAAAATTGCCTCAATCATGACGAAGTATGTAACTAACTAACATATATTATGTAACTAGCTGTGCCCGCGACTTCGTCCACGTGGTTTAGTGGCTTGGGGTACAATTTTTAATTATTTAGGCTGTTTATTAATTTATGTAAGGGCGCATTTAGGGGAGCCAATCTATGTTGTATGTGCTACTTTGCCGCAACACTCCCACTCCCACTCTAACCCCCACTCTCATTCCTACACTCACTCTCACTATCGCTCCCACTCCCACTCCTATTCCCAAAAACCAAAGAAGAACGTTACATTGTTCTGGTTTCAAAAACCACGAATTTTCATACAAATTTTCATTCCCTTTTTCAACCCCTATAACTCCTATTTTTTTTTAATAAAGAAAATAATTATTAACCTACAGAGATGAAAAATTTCCCCGTTATGTTCACATTTCTTTTTATTTCACATTTCTCTTTATTTCTCGTTATGTTCTTAAGACTATATCGACATTTTTTATTTATCTACATTTTTTCAAGATTTCTTTTATTAATAATACTTTGAGCAACGCAAAGTTAACTGAAAGATAATTCATTAAATAACAGACTTGTCTAGACTTTAGTGGCTAGACCTATAAAAAGCAAACATACCTCGGTACACCATTACGACTTGTTAGAATTTCTAGCCAGACTACAGGTATGTACACGTTTTAACTATCTTTAATGAATAAATTAGTAAAGAGGTTCCAAGTTAACATTGACAAGAAGGTATCAAAATTGACAAATATGACAAAGTCAAAAATGAGTTTGTAGTCGGAATTATTTTTGTGATAGAGGAGGAGGAATATATATTGCACTTGCTGGAAGGTAAAATACCCCTAGCTTTGGATATTAGGAAATCCAAAGATTGAATCCTATGGCTTTTTCATCTGTGGACGGTGGTTCGTGACCCGGACGGAATACGCTTTTCCAGCCAATATCCAGAGTTCCAGACCAAGTCCAACATGTTTCATAAATATTGTGAATTGATGAGAAGCAGGACCCAATGGGGATCGATTCAACGACCCGTTGATTTAAATATACACTTTAAACAGTTCAATGCGCAAAATGTATTTGCTAAACTTATTTACAAATTTAACGGCTAAACGTTCTACCACCTACAGTTCTATTCAAACTTTTTGGCCGGGCTGAAGTTAGGGCGACCCCCTTTTTGCGTTCTGCGCAACCATCCGCGCTAACTTCAACCCAGCCAAAAAGTTTGGAGAGCACTGTACACATGTCTTCTTTTCGAATTTCGTTTTTCTTTTCTAATAGCTACTGCCTGTGTTCTAACTTAATAGATAATGGTTTACTATCAAAATGAAAATTTAATCTAATCTATGGTACCTTTCAAAGCTCACATTGTGTTAAGCAATGCCCTAGTTTTCACTAACAATCAAAACAAAACATTGTATGAGTGCGTACAATGGTCTCGATCTATTGAATAAATTTGTATCCACTTTTACCTTTGTATTGTAATACAGATTAGATAACACCGATCTGAAATGATGTAATAACAGATTGACAGATATCTAAAAGACACGCCGCGACGTGGAGCGTTAATAATGTTTAATTCAACGCAAAATAAAAATATGCATAAAATGAGACTTTCTGCATGGCAGAATTGTTACACGCTTAAAAATGTTGACGGGCGTCTTATGTTAACAATTGCTACCTAATAATAAAATTAATGATCCGTGGGTACTTCGTGCCGAAATCTGGATATAAAATGGGTGGTAGGAATATCTAGATTCGTCTAAAGTCGTGAACTTTTTTCGCATTACACTATATTTCTGAATGGCCTATCCCTACATTGGGAAATCAATACATGAGTGAATATCAATATTCCTACATTTTTAACAGCCATGAGGAAAATATTTTTTACTTATAGGTTTTAATAATTTACTTAAAGCAGATTTCTTATCCTTTCGTCTCCTTATGTTTAATGTCAAGTCATAACTACTCCCATATATATAAATATATACTTACTGTACTTAAAACAAAATTTATTTCTTGCCTAAATAAATGTCTGAAGTTTAGCTTAGAACTAAAAGCTACTTTATTATTTGTTCCAGTCATGTTTAAAACGAATAAACAAAAAATACCTGCGTTTATACTATACACTTTGTTACTTTGATAAGATTCTATCATATTTTACCAGCCCATAGGGACTGAGAAAAAGTTCTGTATACAGTTACTTAATATATAGGTTCAGTGACCACCACACTTCCTGTTAATAAGTGCTTATCTTCTAACAATGGTTTGGAATACGAAATTGTGCTTTGTTGCATAGGATTTACAATTAACAACATTTGTATGTAAAAATTGTTGTTCAGTTTGGGTGGTTATAGAAACTAACTTTTTTTTCTTATTTATTCTGATCTGAGAGAAATGGTCAGATGTAACCAGACGTTCAAAAAATAATAATGAGTTTCCTGATAAGAAATCAAAAGATTAGTCTTTTTAGACAGCGTCATGACATGTCAAAGTAACATTGCATCAACACTTAACCGTGCAACAGGTTTTATTTGAATTTATATTGCAACATCAAGATATTAACATTGAATGTACTATGTTGGCGGACGTTTCGTAATCTATTATTTTAATTCGCATAAAAACAGACAAGAAACAAGAAACGTGTTGTATCAGAGTTAAGCTAAACTGTTATGTAGATTAATACATTCTATTGCTTTTATATAATTGTTATATACTCATATATATTTTATAACGCTTAAGCTAAGAGTTGTGTTATACGTTTTAATTTAACGAAATTTCTACTTAATTCTCTATATTTCACCATAAATTATATTAAATACTGTCTGTAGTTCACGTGAGTAGTACGAATTTAAATAAAACACTTCACACTTCTTTGAGGGTGACCTCCCCTGACCACGGCTGCTGCAAAGCTTCCGAAATCAGGCTAAAAAAATTTTAACTGTTATTAACGCGTTATAAACCGTTAAAGTGTTGTATTTAAACATAAATTATTCATTATAAACCGAAATCAAAAAGACGTGATGTTTCTAAAATGAATTATTAGAACCATAAAGGTTTGTATTACCTAATTTATGTTCAAAGTTACACGACATATCAACTATCAAGTACTTATTTTGTATAGGATTTTTACGAGTGATGCAATAAATTTAAAGTGAACGGGATATATTCAATAAAATGTTTAAGTTCCTCCATAAAGTATGGTAACAATTTGAACTGTTTAAGTAAAATAACTATGTTTATATTCTTCCTCCGTTTGCAAGCAGGTGAATGTACTATTACTTTCGCACGCTCAGGTCTATTCTTGTGAATTTGAATGAAATTCATAAATTACGACATTGAGAAAGAATTCTTTTATTATAGGCATCTTTTCATTTTAACAATTTTATTCACAACTTTAAGCAACATCATAATATCGTTCTCTGTACAAACCCGATTGTCTGCGTGCAAAGGGCGGACACTTTTTTGCATCCGTCTCACCTTTCCGAAACTATTTATTATGCTTTACCATATTTCAAAAAAGCAACTTTTAGTATTAATACGAAATTCTCTTTGTCAGTTCTTTATAATGTAAATCCGATGGTATAGCTCATGGTGTCAATAAATAGATTAGGACCTTTAATTAACGAGTTGGGTCGTTGAAACTTCAAAGACAAGCTTAAAACAAAAGACGTCAGTCATTTTAAGCTGAAGGTGCCAAATATGTCAAGCTGATTCGAGAGGCTATTGTTCTATGTTCCTTATCTGTGATATGTTCCTGATCGTTATGTACTGGCACGTATTATTGCGTAGGATAAAGATCTGATAATAATTATTTCTATTAAGTGTGATGCAAAATTGCTTTACTGCAAAATCTCTTTTATTGAACACAATCTATACCAATATTATAAAACTGAAGAGGTTGTTTGTTTAAACGTTCTAATCACAGGAGCTCCTGGTTCGAATTGAAAAAAAAATATATAAATAAGGAAAAGCTTAGTGACTATAAACATACAAACACAAACAAAGAAACAGAGGGAAATTAAAAAATAAAAGTATCCGCTGTTAGATTGTTTAATAGAAATAGAAAGAAACTACTGTCTACTATTGAGATTTTATATGTACTTAGTATACAATTTTAATAAAAATCGTAAAAAATTTGCGACATTATTTTCCACGCAGACGAACTCACGTTGCTAGCTAGTCTTACATAAATTGGTAATAATTTTCGTTATTCTAACAATATGCTTGCGTAATGTTTCTAAATAATGTTCAACGATGGTATAATAATCTAAATTACTTTTGTTCTCACAACGAATAACTTAAGAAAAGGTCAGTAACTCATAGATTTCACGAATCACGATCAACGTAATTTTAAATAACTTATCAAATGCTTTTCGAAATGTTTCTCAAACTATTTGAATTGGTGAGAAAAGTGATGGCATTACATTATTATTAGGAAGTGTAGCTATATGTATGTTATATTATATAATAATGTGTAATCACTTCTTAAGAACCTGGGAAACATTCTTTTGATATGAAGTATTTCGACGGTATTTGATTTCCATTAAAACGGTTTTTATGAGTTATATACATAGTTTTTAACAGTTTGAACACACATTTTTTAATAGTTTAAAGAAGAATTATTTCATCTTACAGGAATAACAGTATTATTTATCTAATAATACTTTGATGTATAAACTGTGACAAAACAGTATCGTTAATTTTGAGGTATGGTAGTAAGTTCCGAGTGTGTTCCGCAATAAAGGCAAACTTATATGAATCAAATTAGATGTTTGGAGTCTGATCTTTCTACACAGGTAACAATTGAGTCTAAAATTGACACTACCACTAAACAACTCCAATACAACATGATATGAGAGATCAAATATGTTATTGGATGACGACATCTCCTCGATCTCTATATGGAACTCATATCTATGCAAGAACAAACGAGGAAGGAAGTCAACTCAACGCACTGTACATATTGATAACTGATCACATTGATTTTATCATAAGCTTTGATTGGAATCAGGATATTTCAGAATTACCAGAAAATAAAAAATAAAACACTAATAACCGTATGAGTAAATGACTATTTTAGTAGTTTGCAGTGACGTGGGTGTACACACAAACACGTAACATTGGTTTATTTGTAGACTTGTTAGGTGAATAGAATATTAGACAGAAGAGGTAATATGCGTAAAATAAAAGGTTAAGGTCCGTAAAAACTGACCTTCGTCATTAATATAAACATTAAAGAGAATAGGTCAGTTACACGATAATGCCGTTAGAGATAAGATACGGTATCGTAGAAAATAGAAATATAAAAAAACTAGATCATGCATTTTTAACGTCAGATCTAATAAATCATTTTAATCCTGTTAGTGGCGGTAAAGCGAGCGCACTAAGCGGATTTATTGGCCCTATGACATAACTGAGGCTTTTGACATGCATCGTTAATTGTGTGTTAATGATTGCGAAGTTTAAATAAAACACTTTAACGGTTTAAAACGCGATATATTAGTTAAACTTATTTGAAAATGATTTTTAACTTCGGCCCGACGTTTCGGATGCTTTGCAGGTCATTTTCAAATAAGTTTAACTAACATATCGCGTTTTAAACCGTTAAAGTGTTTTATTTAAATGTGTACTACTCGCGTAAACTATAGACAGATTGCGAAGTTCATTATCTGTCTGCGACAATTTACGTTGGATTTAAACAAATTGATTTATAACTAAAGGAATTAAATTTTGGAGTTTTAACTAAACGTGTGCATGAAAGAGATGTCTGTATGTGTCTTATTATAAACGACATAATATACACTTGTAACTAGCTGTGTCAGCAACATTGTTCGTTGCATAGTAATTTTAGATAATTTAAAGATATTCTTTCATACATACTTTTTAGGTATCTTGAACCGTTTTCGGAGCATAGATCAGAAACCCACAAAGAAATAACCCAATTTTTCCACATTTTCTGCTGTTTCTTCACTCGTATTAGTTACAGCGCGATGTTTTCCTCCTTCCACGATAAGTGCTCTAACCAACACAAAAAGAATTTCGAACCAGTAGTTCCTGGGATTAGCGCGTTTAAACAAACAAACTCATAAACTTTACGAATAATATATATGACCCATTGAATATGTGTTTTTCAATAATTCTTATGAAACTATATAATGTGCTCCTTGATTAGTAAAAATATTTTTTCCAGGGTCACTCCGAGTCGAAAGGGGCTAGAAAGAGAGACAAGAGTGTGAGTAACGGTAACAAGCAGAGTCGAGGAGTCGCTACATCATTCGGCTTCAGGCGACGTCCTGCCAGCACCTCAAGAGCTGATGATAACGCGAGGAAGAAGAAATCTCATGATAAGAATGGAAATGGGGGTAAGCATGTATTAAGTTGTTATGATCAGGAATAAACGTTGGTATCACATATGCAACTACTCGTGGAAATCATGCAAAAAAATAACAGAAATTATTTATACTAATAGTGAAAGAGTTTAGACTTGACTTAAAATAGGTCAACAGAAATCAGATTGTACCACGATTACTAGACCAGTTAATAACTTAGGAATATTTTTTAAAACTTGCATTCTCGTATGCATCGTCTTTTGTATGCCCTTATATTTGAATTTAGGAAACCGAAAATATTTCAATTATAGACACTAGATATTAAGAATCACGTGTTTTTCACACTTAGTTACATATTGTTTGATATCCTTCTTTACAGACTGAATGATTTGGTTAATTTTTCTTATTAATTGATCTTCTTATCAATTAAGGTTTAAATGTAAAAAAAATACATAATTTTTATGTTGCTACTCAAGACAAAAATTATGTTGGATTATTCTTCTCCCCCTACTAAATGTAACACGCTGTCGCTATAACGCGTTACGTAACGACTCGGTAACCTTTTTTAAAATACGTTAATACACTTCAAAATAAGATGTTCTCTTAAAATTACAAAATTTTCTTTATACTATAAAGAACGCACTACCTAACTACAATTATGTAAGCGAATAAATTTTTTACAACATTTTTAGAATATGAAAGAAATAACATTACCCACAATAAGATTATCTTAACACCACTTACAAAACAGGCTTCTACTTATACGTAAGACATCATGGCGTATTTTTAGATGTAAGCCCACGCAATACGTGTCTTGAATCTAGGTGTGGTATCTACATTGTGATAAATCGATCATTAAGTTTCGGTCGGGCAGGGCACAGAAATCTAATCAATAAATAACCTGTAAATATATCGATTAGGAGACACGGTGAAAACAGGTTTTCACACTATATTGATTAATTCCATATAAGATTCAAATCAGTTAAAATAAATTTTCATTGACTTATACTATACTATGATTATATAACATCTGTTTAATAGATCTCTTGTATACTGTGCAGGGTTATAATATTTAGTTCCCAACTATCTTTATGATAGATTCACTTAAAGGTGAAACACCCCAGCCATCTCTACAATGTGCGTTGTCGACCTATTTTGGCTTTGGATATTCGGAAATATACAGATTGAAATCGTAACGCTGTGGACGGTGATGTTTGCCCCGGACAAAACTTCGATATTCTTATCAACCATTTAACATCCAGATTTCCAGACGAAATTCAACATGTTTGCGAACAATCCTACTAATATTATAACCGTGAAAGTTTGTATGTGTGTATGGATGTTTGTTACTCTTTCACGCAAAAACTACCGAATGGATTTCAACTAAACTTTCCAATAATATAGCTTATACATCAGAATAGCTACAATTTATAAAGATATTGTGTGAGCTGTCCAAAATATGACATTAAGTGTCAAGTAACTAGGAAAAAACCTACATTACTGCGAGCTATTCTGGCGTGCGCTGCCATAATTATTATATTGCTGGCATAATAGTTGCACATATTTATGTCATAATGTTAGTTCTTTTCTACGCCACGCTAATAGAAGCTACTCCAAATTCTAATCCTGCGTAGACGAAGTCGCGGGCACCAGCTAGTTATAAATAATTTTTTAAACATAACTCGTAGATTATTACAGCTACATTGTTACCATTAAATAAACAAGCTCGTGAAGTCTAACCTCAATCTATAACGTACTTCTTATGTTTAAATAAATCTAATATAAAGTCATTTTGTATTCAGGTTCAACCGAAGAGTTACGAGCCGAGGAGGTCTTGTCAGGTCGATCAACACCATTGGCTAGACCACGAAAGGAGACATCAGGACAACCGCTTAGAACGAATCGGTAAAGATATTTTAATCTTTTTTATGAAAATAAAACCAAGTTAAATTGTGATATATCGCTTAAGTCACTAGGATTCAGAGACCATGCAAAATAGAACAACTGACCGTAGTTGAATGCATTTACCATAAAAATCAATTGCTCAAACACGTGTAAGTTTACACTGTCTGTAGTTTACGCGAGTAGTACACATCTAAGCAAAACAATTTACCGGTTTAAAACGCGATATATATGCTAGGTACATTTACGCAGGCTTTGCGGTAACGACTGTTGCAAAGCATCCGAAAGGTCGGGCTGTAGTTAAAATAATTTCCAAATAAGATTAACTTATACATTTCGCGTTTAAGCCGTAAAAAGTTTTATTTAAACATTTAAATTCGTTTACTTTTAATATTAGTTTCATTTCAATTGACTTAATAGTTCACACTCCTATAAAAAATCTACCATCTCTATATTCTTCATCTATATATATACCAAAGATGCTGTAGTTTGAAAACAAATATATTAATTCAAAACGGGTTTATATTTACTATAAATAACGCTATCTAATAATATCATCGAAATAATAACGGATCGATAATACAGCCTGCAAAGTTCATGGCCAGTTTAATGCTAAAAGCATTCTATTCAAACATATTTTAAAAGTCAGGGCGCTATGGTAGTAATGATCTAAAACATAGATCATATTAGGATAGTAAAATAAGATAAATATTAAAAAAACAACCATTGCTATAACCACAAGAGTGAAGAGAATTTAATTTCCTCCATTGTCAGTATTTTGTAACAGTTTTATCGTAAGTTAAGTTATAACATAACTTAATAGGTGCTTTTAACAATGACTATATATAAATGGTAAATTTTCATTCTCCCTCTCTCCTAAATCTATACGGCTTAGTTGTTTGCAAAATAAAAGCAGAAGTAAAAAATTGCCAACATTATCTCAGATCGTGAAAGTTATGACGGCGTAGAATCGCCATAAAACTTCCTATTTCGCAATATAATTTACATGCGAAAAGAAAGTAAAAATTATAGACGAAAATGAAACCGATTCCTGTTTCCGATGCTATTACAATAAATAATTATACGCTGGTGACTAACGCTGTACAGATTTTATAATATTAATAGAAATTTAACGCTATTGACGCAAAAAAGCAATAGAGATGTAATTTATAACAACTATTTTAGTGTTGACAAAATAATCTTTAGCACAAGTTAAAAGTTTATGTAAATACATTAAGTTTTTCTGTGTTACGCAACAGTTTCTCGTGTAAGTTCATAATTAACGTGAAGAAACAAAGGAAAATTGCACCATTGCGACTCTGCAGCTGTATATTCCAGGTGCAATTACCTTCAGAATTTAACATTTCTCTACTCATGTACCGTTCACAATAGGACTAGACATGAATATAGTATACTGATGATTAAAACTTAGAAACTTTGAACTAAGGTAAAAATAAAATACATATTCAAAACGATTTGAAGAAAAACTGGCCTAGATTATCAGTACCTAGCCTTCTTAATCATGATGTTTGAGATGTTTTGCAAACTAAAATACATTTAACATTGTATGTATCGTAAATGGCCTATTTGATTGTTTTTGAGTATTTTTTTTAATTTTTGTATTGTATTAAGTATAAGTTTAGAAATAGTAAAACAGTCACATACGTTAAAAATAATAATTGATTTAATTAAAAAACTATTAACTTTTTTAAACATTTGTCACGTGATACAAAACGCTCATATTAATTGGTCGGGTTTATGATGACGTCACTTGCTTATAAACAGTGCTGTTAACCATAGTGCTTCCTAGTGTTAAAACCGTTCTATTCTCTGCATTAATTAATAAATAAATTTGTACCACATTTTATTATTTCAATCACTGTTAAAAAGTAAACCTTTTGTATAAAGGCATGTAGATCGTAGATCATATAATCGATATACATCAATGGCCAATATAGGGTCGTGACGACACTAGCCGTATTGCGTTTAGGCGCGCAATTTAAATGTTCGATATTGAATTTGTTATATTTCAGCAAAAATGTATAGGAATTCGAAAATAATATGGAGTTTCTTAGCATCTACCAAATAATAAAAAGTACATTTTAAAAATCAGTCAAATAGCTCATTATTTTGTGTGTTACAATTGAGACACAAATGACTTCTATCCCGTAGGTTCGGTTTCAGGCAGCAGCATAACAAAACAGCGAAGGTATCCGACGTAAGCCTAACTGCTGAACAGGCGTTCGCACCACCTAAGGATAAGGAAGCCAACATAAACAACAACTTTGGTACGTAAACTTCTATGCATAAATTATAATAATTTTTAATTCTACAATCTATTAACACAAACAGTTAATAGAACATTGGCCCTTTTCCTCAGTCCCTTACAAAGAATACAGACAAAAAAGCAATTAAGGTGTCACGGCCAATCAATCTCTTTTAACTTATTTTGGTGAAACAATCCCTATAATATGAAGTTCATAAAATTATGTTTAACTAGCTGGTGCCCGCGACTTTGTCTACGCAGGATTAGAATTACGCAGTATCGCGCATTTAAACTAAATTATGTCTATCATACATACATTACATAATTATGTGTAACTAACGTTTATGGCAGCGTACGCCGAAATAGTTCGCAGTAATATAGGTTTCTTCCTAGTTACTTGACACTTAATGTCATATTTTGGACAGCTCACACAATATCTTTATAAATTGTAGCCTATGTGCCATTCTGATGTATAAGCTATATTATTGTAAAGTTTAATTGAAATACATTTAGTAGTTTTTGTGTGAAAGAGTAACAAACATCCATCCGCACATACAAACTTTTATGTTTATAATATTAGTAGGATATTGGTATTGATCTTTATATATGAATCCGGTTGTTACTTTGTGCTTAATGAAGGGACGATAATTAAACCAGCTGAATAGGTTTTTAATTGAAGTCAACAAATTAGACCCAGTGTTTTGTATCCAATAATATTTGACTACAAAAAACAGTTTAGAAAGCAGTTTTGTTTACTTTGCTGTTAGAAGTGGCGATTGCTAAGAAAGTTTACTAAGGCGCTATATTATTTTGTACAAAGAAATAATGTCTAAGGTTACCAAAACGTTTCAGATAAGAAAAGTACAAATGCCTACAACCTCCCTTCCTTTGCTACTCAAGTATCAGCAAGTGGAGTCACTAATATAGTCGGAGCCCAGGGTGTGCCTAAACCCGTAACCAAGCAGACCGTCATCTTGACGTATCAAGCACAACAACAACAACATCCACAGGTATACAGTATAGAAATCGTTTATATACTTACAAAAACATTCAAAGCCACACCTAGTAAAGCAATATCTGTATGTATTTGATAACTTTAATGTGTTGCACATTATATAAATAAAAAAATTTAATCCAAATTAAAAAAAAAATTAACAGTGTTCCATGCTGTTGCACTGTCGTCACAATCACCATATTGCTAACTTCGCATGTAAAGTACTTTTTTTTATATAAAAAAAAAATATTCATTTTGCATAATTTGAGAATTGATACTATACAGTACTAGTGCAGTAATAGGTACTAACGTAAGTAAAAAATAGTAGGTATTTTTTACAGCACACTTTTTTATATTTTTTTATTTAACTTGAAGAAGACTTAGAATTTGTTCTATTAAATTAAAAATCGTTTATAGATTTTAAAATTATACGACACCGAAAGGACGTGAACCGACATCCACAGCGTTCCGTGCTGTTTTTCTAACCAATTCAGATACCGTGCCAAACCGTGAAAAATATTAAAGTTTTCAAAGGTTTTATTATTTTTTATTTTATAACATACAATATTGCTGCTAATCTCAGGATGGCAGAAAACCGCCGAAAGCTGAAACGCCCAGTGTGCGAAGCGCAATTGCAACCCGACCGCCCGCCATCGATCCTCAGAAGCCTCCAGGAAAATATACTTTCCAAACAAATCAGCTACCTCGGCCGCAATATCCAGCTGTAAAGACTATAGATACAAAATCTGCTAAACAGGTTGGTATAAGTTAACATCAAGCAAGGAATTGCTTTTCTTTCTGGAAGTGCGAGTTATTTTTACTTATTTAGCCAAAAAGCTTTGATATTTTTCACGTGTTACTGCAGTATATGAATTAAAAATTGATCAGGTCCGTGTCGTAATTTTTTTTTCAAATTAGATTTGATTTTTAATCTGCATTTAGCCAAGTTTAGTTACTCAGTCCACTGATTTTCGAAATTTAATATTATATCCTACATAATTCTATTTATCTAAAAATAATTACGTCATCTAAAAATTATGTCTTATCACAAAGTGTAAGACTTGGTAGTTAATTTTATTTTTATTTTGTAGTTTATTTTTAACTATCCATTTTTATACATAATGAATTGTAAATGAGCAATTTGTTTCTCTAGCATCATTTATAATGCTTGTCTTCTTAATGACCACTTTCATTGACGAGTCTTAAAGATCTAAAAGTTCTCTTACGTCATTTCAGTGTCACGCGAATATATACCTTGTGTTCGGAAGTCAAGATTTATTTTCGTTCAGACCAGGAAGTAGGTCATCATTCACCTATTTCAGGGCTGTTGATTTTGAAACCGGGTGCCGTTTGCCGAAAATATCATTGCACTGTGCATCGGTAGGATACACACGAGAATATGTTTCTAACGATTAAAATGAAAAATATATGTATATATATTATAATCTACTATGAATATTGGAAACTTAAAAGACCGACAAAGCCATGCATTATTAATACACCATGACCACATAATCTTCGGCGTTAAAAAGCATAACTTACTGTCACTTTAACCTGTCTAAATAGAAAAAAAACGTATTAAAAAAATAATTGTAAAAGTATTTTTTTAATTTTTGGAATTATAATAAACATTTCAAGTAGGCCACACCTAAAAGAGATTACAAAATTAATAATAAGCAATATTTAATTGCAAAATTACGGTAAATACGTAAAAATTAATTAGTAAGATTTCAAAAAGAACAATGCCAGCAAATGTGAATGTTGTAAAGCTTACTTTCGTAATAACGCCCGCATAATTAATTATTCTTCACAACAATGTACTCTAAAACCGCTAAACGTGAACACGTCTAGACGCATTTAATTTTATGAACAAAGTGAGTCTTAGGATATATCTCTAGTTGTCAATTCCCGTGTATACCGGGCTTTTAGTGTAACGTAGGGACATTTCTACGACGTTTGTTATGTCGAATGGTCAGATGAAATCTCTGAGGATTGCAAAATGGTTGTAATTATAATTTTATTGTAAAAAAATAATATTTATTTGATTTTAATCTTTATCATTTTTTCAGGTCGTCAATAACAACCGGAAGGCGAGTGCGGACGGCTGGCGAGAAGGTAATTTGTTTTTTACAGGAAATACTTTAAATATAAAAAAATATTGGTCAACTCTGCATATATAAAATTTCAAAGTTTGGAACAATTTTCATCTGTGCATGTTTATTAGCACATTGCGGTAATTTTATTTAATGATTTCTATGACACCTTCGTCGATAAATCTTTTGCGAATTATTATTTGTTTAATACGATACGTATGCGTAAATTATGAGCTTGTTAATATAAATACATAAAAACAATTGTGCGAGTGTAAATATGCTTGATTATTATTCATTTTTATTCTTATTTTCTAGGTGCAGGATCCGCTGTGTCCAGCGACTCTGGGGTGTGGACAGGGTGTGAGGGCGGGGAAGAACTATCCCCCCGCTCGCGACGAAGACCACGTAATTTGGAGATGGTGATGCGTGGCTCCCATAACTTTCATCTTCGGGAGTTACAAGTCGCCGATCTGGATATTATGGGTAAATAGCGCAAAACCAGAACTATTGAGTGATACACAGAATAGTGATTCATACCGGGTTCTTGTATTTCATTTATCTACGTGGTGGCAAACGTAATTTGGGGTGAATTTAAGACTGACCGATAGTATTTTTTATCAAGTTTACCCAGAACGGCTAAGCCAGGGAGCGTAGGTTTAAAAAAACGTGTATGTTTAATTTTTTATTTCAGCTTTACCTTATTTTTATATAAATATGACGATTATACATTGTATTCATTAACAATTAGCTTTAGAATGACATAGAGTAAAGAATGTATAACCTTACGTGACTAATTTAAATGATTTTACTCTTTATTTCTTTTTAGACGACGCTGTTATCACGGGCCACGCAGTAATCCCACTTCCAAAGCTACCGAGTTCCTTCACTGAATCATCCCCAGAAGTCGAACCGGCTCCGTTCATACCTTCCCCAGTCGCTCCAAAACCGACTCCTGTCAAAGAACCTCAAAGCTCCCCCATGTCAACGCTAGAACGCTACAGAACCAGGACTAGGCCTTCTAGGATCAGCACCATGGAGTACAAGAATGAAGAAAAGTTTGTGTTAGATAGAACCCAGCCAGAAGTATTGACTAAGCAGGTAACTTAAGACTGTGTTTAATCAAGTAATTACAAACTTGTCATCAAAGAAGATGTTGATCAGCCTTCTGCACCTTGCCCGATTTAAACTATTTATTATGTTTTCAAGCTTAAACCAATTGGTGTAACCATAAATTACGGAGCAGGTATTTTTTTTAACCTGTAAATACTAATGTAATAAGTAAAAGTATAAAATTTATATTTCAGTCATCATTTGTAAAGTCATCAAGTGGAAAAACATCTCCTACCGTGGATTCATCAAAAGAGTCCAGCCCATCTTGCAAGAGCGAAGAAAGCCATTTTGGTAATAGTAGTGCATGGCAGAGTCACGCTGCTGGAGAAGCAATGGCTAATAGGTAACAATAAAACTAATAAAAATGGGTATCTAATGTAAAAAATAATCAAGCCTGAGTTTGGAAGAACGTTGAACACACGACAACAAGATTAAAAAAGCGATGACACAGTTATGTTGAACTCACAAGTAATAAATAATTTAATTGATCTTTACTGTTTCAACGAATTCTTGAGATTTCAAAATCATTTATACTCTATAGAACATTCATGAGAAATATCACGAGAAAATTATAAACATTCAAGTAATTTTTAATAAGCATTGATAAAGACAAAAATACAATTAAACTTTTTGTTTGATTCAGGTCTCAAGATGATGTATCGTTAGCTTTAAGTGTATCGAGTTGTGAGGAGGATAAGTCTAAATTTGAAGTAAAAGAGCTACCTAAACCAGAGCCTGAAGTCCCGAAGAAAACTATTGTTATCATGGATGAACCTCCACATCCGCTTCTGATGAAATCACTAACTTTGAGTCAACATGAAGCATTGAGGACCTCTATGATGGGTAAGTTGGGTATCATATTGTTGGGCCCAGATTTAAAAAAAAATGTTTGTTTGGTTTGTGGAATGGACGGAATTAATTTGACCAATTGCTTTTTATGAAGTCGTCTAGCATTTATGGTCCAGTTTCCATAAGCAATCACTTTTCTTTTTAATTACACAAGTACTTTTATATAATATGATATGTATTTTTTTCTCTACAGGTTCAATGACAAGTTCAAACTACAGTACAACAAGCACATGCACAAACCAAAGCAACGGACACAACACATTAACGCTCACACTAGAAGAATCTAAATTCGACATGTCCGTTCTGGAAGCTTCAACACAAAGTTTACTTGACGACGAGACCTCGCCAGCTGATTCTCTCATATCTTCCACGAGTACCAGTGACTCAAACAATGAACTACACGGAACAGAGGCGCCCTCTATATCCAGTGCATATCAGACGGCAAACACCAAGACAAGATCACCAGATCCCATTGTGGAAGAAGATGATAGCATTGATGGTGAAGCGCTGCCGGCTGTTAAGGAAATAAGGTGAGATGAATAAGAAGAAGCAGTGGTAGTAACTCAAAAATAAACTTTATTGGATTTCAATAAAGTAGATATTCAATTATTAATTAAATGCTTCTCTTCACAGTGAAGGTGCGTCCAGCTCAGGCAGTGGCAGTAAAAATGTAACACCTCCCTCCCCGGGTACTCCTACGCACGCATCTGGTTCACTGTCACTGTCTGATGGTCGTGACTTCTTCGATGATGAAATCGCCGACCAGCCCGCGTTACTCTTCAGAAGTGAGTAATAAACCTTTCGGATACAATTCTTATCGGTCGCATTACACTTACTTACTGTGAAACTTTTATTTACTGTGAAGTGAGCAACTTTTTCGGTAGACTACTTATTTTCGGTTATTTTTTAAATCTTTTACAGCAGAATCATTCTTTAATACATAGTTTTCTGGTTTCGTTGCGCAAGCATCGGAAGCTGATAAATATTTTTTCACATATCCCACTGTTTCTTCGCTTTTATAGGTCGCACCTGATGTTTTATTGCCTAAAGCCTTCCTCGGTAAAAGGTCGAACCGATACATTAGTAGTTCCTGAGATTAACGCATTCAAGCAAAAAAACTCTTTAGCTTTATACTATTAGTAAAGATTAAGTTTATACACATAATTAATATACGCTGATTTTTTTCTAGAAAATAACCACGGTAGTCCATCCGTAAAGCGTGCGGATTCAGATGTTGGTAAGCAGATGAGAAGATCACGTGACCACGTCGCATCCAGTCCGTTGGCACGAAGGAGTTCCAAACGTATGTGCTGGTCTTATTACGAGAGAATCTATTAACTTATCTAACTCAGCTTTCAATATAATAATCATTATCATTTACAAGGCATCCATAAATGACGGGCAGGTTGGTGTAATGGTAGCAATGTACGGCTAATAACCAACGGCGTCGATCCCTACCGGGCGCATTTATCTAATCAAATTATATTTTTTTCCGTAAATATGTTGGTCTTGTTCTGGAAAATCTGGACATTTGGATGGTAGGAATATCGAAATTCCGTTCGAACAGACCACAGATGAAAAAGCCGTTAAGTTAATAATGCTTCGGTTCCAGTTGGTGGATTTCCGAATATCCAAAGCCAAAATAGGTCGACGGCACATCTTGTTTAGATGCTATAGGTTGGGATATTTCACCTACCATCAAGTGAACTCCACGCTTATTTATACTCCTTTATCATAAAATATAAAATTTTGGAAATGATTTTTTTTCAGTCATTGGAAATCGGAATCCAAATGAAAGAACAGCATCCTTGGATACACTGTCCAGCCTTGCGTCAGACGATCTGATGATGGACAATGATTTGGCGCAGTCAATAACCAGTTTGCAAAGTGTAGATGATTATATTGAGAGGTAAATAGGTATTTTATATTGTTTATTTTAAGCTAGAAACCGTAGTTCAAAATCTAAAGGATCCTTTATTCTGTATGTATAGATAGGTTTTGTTATTTGAATGTATTTAAATCGATAATCAATTTTAATTTAAAAAAATAGTAATAAAACTTAGGAGATTTAATTAAAATTTTCAATGTATTTATAGAGAGGTAGGTTGCAGGAAAATTGTTTTTTTCGGTATTCAAAACCCAGTACCTATTAAGCTATATCAGGGCTGGACAAAACCATTTAACATCGCCATGACGGTAAAACAATTTTAACATACATATATTTAGCATAGATCATAGTTTATAAATATCACAGAGTATAGATAACATCAGTTGACCATTTTAATGGTGCCACATTCTTAGATTGCATCACGAATGTGACTTTGCTAATTTAAAAACATCTATCTACATGGATCGCTTTTAAATGCCAAATACAACATGTTCGTGATTTTAGCAGGCTTCCAGAAACTACTAATACGGATCTATATTGCATAATTGAAAACAAATTAAATTTTAAATTTTTGACCACCTCCTTAAACAATATTAAAATAATAAAGAGACTGTTTTTATATTATACAGCCGGTGAGACCGTTTATACAAGCCAAGATACGTCAAAGAATGTTAACACAAAGTTTAAGAAGATTCCCTTTAATTTAACTTTATATGTATGTAAGTTATGTTTCACGATGTTTTTCCATGCTGCTGTAGAGGTATGGCTGCACTCGTTCAGCGAGCCTCCAACCGCTGCCTTGATCTGGTCAGTCCATCGTGTGGGTGACCTTCCGCGCGGTCTAGTGCCTTCCACCTTTCCTTGGACAACAAGGCGTTCTATGGACTGGTTGTCACGCCGGGAAACATGTCCGAAGAATGTCAGAATGCGAGATTGTACTATAGAAAATAGACGCTGTTTGATACTGAGTTCTTGAAGTATCGAGACGTTCGTGCGAAACTCGGTCCACGAAACCCCAAGCATTCTTCTCCAGCACCACATTTCTAGAGGTCCACCTTCTGCCTTTCCACATCTCGAAGCCACGTTTCAGCCGCGAGAGAAATATGGGGAATATAAGCGTCCTCCAAGCCCTTCGGGTTAGTAATGTCTTTATTCCTCCATATTTTCCGCATCTTGTCCATGCGTTGGATGCCATGTTTTGATTTGTGATGCATCCGCCATTATTTGAAATCAGAGCCCCAAGATAAATATAAGATTGAACTACAGTGCAATTGCGATTTGGGTTATTAGGCGAATATTTGAGGTGAAAAAGGGGGAAAAGTCCAAATTCATAGTCACTGTCATCTTGACAGTAGCTCTTCCGAAACGGATAACCCCTCTAAGACTAGAGTACATAGCGATCACGACCGCTCTGTCAAGAGCGTACCGGATAAAAGAAGAAAGTTATGTTAAAAGTAACAAGAATAGAAAATAAGGTAAAACAAAAGTTTCAAGTTTATCTGCATAATTTATATACATATTTCACTATGTGCTGTATTTTATGGGGAAATGGGTGAAATGGTAGCGGAAACGTGGACTGATCACCCGTCCTGAGGGTCGATAGAAAAAAAATGTGCTGTATAGGAAGTATTGAAAAAAAAATGCAATTTTAATAGACTAAATAGCGAATAAATGTTTTTTTAGACTGGACAGTTCACTTCGTAGCGGCCTAAACTCCCTGGACGAAAAGCAACTGCGACAGGAGTTATCATCATCAAAAACCGCGATACGACAGTGGAGTCAACTATTAGAGAAGAACAATATCCTAGATCGACAATTAGCTGCTATGGCTCAAGGAAAATCAACAGAATCGCTCGCTGGAAGTACTAGCAGTCTTACTAATCTGGGGTAAGTCTTTTTTACTATACATATAGCTATCAAATGTAGGTATATAATATACATTTACGTTGTAAACTATCTAGTAAGGTAAGTACTAGTATGCGAGTACACATTTAAATAAAATACTTTTAACGGTTTAAAACGGGAGTTAACTTATTTACAATTTATTCTAACAACGGCCCGATGTTACGGATGCAATATCAATCAGCCGTCAGGACATTAATAATAAATACATAGTTAAATTTCACATTTTAAACCGATAACAGTCTTTTATAAATTGTCCACACATAACTCATCAATTTGTTTATTCAAACGTAGTATTATGTATCTAAAAACAACACGTGGAATCCATTTTACATTTTACCAAAGAGAATTCGTTAGATAGTTAGTAATCTAAAAAATAATGGGTCTATTTGTAAAATGTAGGGACAGCTTTCAAAATCACAGTTCTACAATGCACTAGATATTTTACAATGTAACGGTACATATAATGTGACGGTGCCCTATGATTTGGTGTATTTTTTAAATACAATAGAGCGCGTATAAGGACCCAATCGATATATTAAATCCCTTATCATAGTTGTAATCAAAGGTATGCAAACAAAGATAACATCTTATCAAATCATCGCAATCGATACCTACTATTGATTTTTATCGTTATTCATAATTTTTACAATGCGTATAACAATAAACTTTGACACATATTGTGCACACAATATACACAAATAATATCGTCATAACATTATAAATTTTCTAATTACAAAAAAAACAATAAGTTTTATACAAGCTATTTGTTTTAACAAAGCTTTTATTTCTTCCCTGCCTGTCTCATGTCCGGAAAAAGGGATTTCATAAGTATGTGACATCAGCGAATCTATTTTTTTCAATGATAGATGAAAAAAAAAAAAAAAAGGGGGGGTTTTTTTGGGGGGGGGGGAAAAACCCCCCCCCAAAAAAAAATAAAAAAAAAAAAAGGGGGCCCCCTAGGTTCCCCCTTTTTTGGTTTTGGTTTTTCGGAAACCCACAAACTGAAACCGAAACGCGATTCAGCTTCTTGGCTTGAAACTCTCTGCCCTGCCCGACGGAACCCAATTTTGCCGTTTCATCGAACTTAGGACAACTCGCGTTTTACCATTGAATCACAGAGACTATTCAAGATCCTAGTATAACTATAGATAAAATAATAATACAAATCTTCACTGACATTTGTGCATATTTTACACAGAACAAACGTTATTATCAACATAAAAAGATGTCCTTTGAATCAATATTGCCTTGAAGATCTCTGGACCTATTGTATCATAGATATCTTACCCGGAGTTATTTACAGATACCCTATTGAAGTTATTTGTTTACAAACTCCCACTATAATGACAGTAACCATTGTCGCAGATAAGTACTGACAATAATGAATCTTTACATTCCATTCTTCTGATCTGAATATCTGTTTAAATTTTAGTTCTCGGTAACAATTAATTCGGACAAATATAGTTTTTAGATTGGTGCCATTGTCGTGTATAATATCTCACTTGGTGCCTATCTAGCTTAATTCAATAATAAACTATATATTAATACGTATATCATACATGCATAATAATTACATTAGGGTAATTTGCCGGGCTTGTTGGTGTAATGATCGTATCCATGAGTCGTGGGTTCGATCTCCACCAGGTCCATCGTGTGTCTAATTTATAATTTTTCTGTAACATGTTGGACTCCGTCTGGTATATCAAATTGACGGTAGGAATATGGAAAATTCCGTCTGGGTCACGAATTGCCGTTCATAGATGAACAAGCCGTGAAGTCTAAACGCGTTTAGGTTTTAATCTGTAGCTTTCGGCATAACCGAGGTCGACATAGCATCTAGTTTAGAAGTTATGTGGCTGACGTATTTTAACTTCCATCGAGTGAATCCCATGCTACTCTGTCCTTCCCAAGCATAAAAAAATGCGCTTATTAAAAGTGTGTGTTCAATAACGCCATGACTGTAAGCGTGTGGTTCAGATGGAGCGGAATCATGAGATCAGTACGTCTTTTAAATACAATATATTAGGAAAATAGGAACAAAAATGTCTACCCCCATGCCCCAAGGCGTTAATGCATGGACACTTTTAATAAGCGTAATGTATTTAATATTAATTCTTTAAATAACTCTTTGTATGCTGTAATCTAATCTTGTTGATATCAAATCTCCCACACCTTAAAATAACATATTTATAAGCAAATTTTGCGCCTTAAGTGTCTGTTAACAATTAAAGATCTTATTTAAGTAGTTCGCTAGTGTTCGATTGTTAGTGCAGTTCCTAAATCGGTAATTAACTTTCTAGTCAACAAAGCGGACGGTAAATTTAACAATAGCTAAATATTTTCCATAGCAAGGTTTTTTGAATGAAACGGTTATGTTTGAAACTACCGTTTATTTAAGATTCCATTAGGATTTCGAAGGTTAGACAAGCAGTTACATAAATACTTTGATGTTCCTATTGCCTTAGTTGGAAATGGTTATAACGTGTGGGTGCCTTTAACTCATAAAAGTAACATAGCAAGATTTTTAAAAATCTCGCACAAAACAGCCAACCTCATCGGAGTAAATTAATAGAAGAAATAATTTGTTTAAACATTAACTTACTCATTACTATGTTTAATTAAATTTAATTCATGCAGTCAATTTAGGCTGCAATAATTGTAATTAACTTTCTATTCCCTAGATTCATATTTTAATACTTTGTACGTATAAAATATACATAGACTAATAAAAATATAACTTTGTTATAGCTTATACAAAAAAAAATACTATTAGTAAAAAATGATAGTTCAAATTTAGAAGGATGATCGTAAAATGACAGATTAATTATTCAAACTACAGATAATGCTAGTCACAGATAATACTGTCTGTAGGTTGCGCGAGTAGTACACAAATAAAACACTTTAACGGTCTAAAACGCGATATATACGAGTTAAACTTATTTACATGCTTTGCTTCAAGGCCCTCCGTGACCACGGCTGCTGCAAAGCAAACGTCGCGCCGTAGTTAAAATAAAATAATTGTCAAATAAGTTTAACTAATATATATCGCGTTTTAAACCGTTGAAGTATTTTATATAAAAATAGTCACAGATAATCAAAGTTGGCCTTCTAATCAATCGAAACGTATTAACCGTTTCAAAATCGAACGAAACAGCAGTTGACGAAAGAGAAATTTGGCGTTGCAATTTTCAAGGTAGATTTTACGGTGATTCTTATGAAAGGTCCTTGCACCAGGCAGCTGCCGAGCTTCGGCTGTGGATGCGCGCACGATTGTTGTTATACAACTCGAGTTGAACTCCACTCGAACTTAAAGTTTTTAATTCAGTTTCCGATGAGACGCGCGCACGGACCCACGTGCATACTATTAATCGAAGTCGAATATCTGTGACAGTGTTGAGTGCACGTGTACATTACGTAAATATACATTGCTTAATTGAATTAATTTCTCAAGGATTGTCCCATTTCTTTGCAATACGATGAGTTCATTGACATCACTACACAGTATAAAACAAAGTCGCTTTTTCTGTCCCTATGTGCGCTAAAATCTTTAAAACTATGCAACTGTTTTGATGCGGATTTTTAATAGATAGAGTGATTTCAGAGGATGGTTTTTATACAACGTTCACAGTTTTTAGTAGTGTATTTGGTATCAGCATTGCACCCGAGCGAAGCCGGGGCGAGTCGCTAGTTGAATATAAACGCGTTTGAGAGTCAAATGCATATACGTTAACATTTATCATTTATTTCCGCACAAATACAATGTAATCATCATAATTGCTCTAATGTGTGTGCTACTTCCAATTTTTGTTGACGTTAAATATTAACAGCTGTAACTACCGCTGCAAAACACGTGTTCGGGTTCGAATCCGTTGAATGGAATTTACGGATGCTCCCTTTTCTTTGGGTACAATGCCTTGACCTTTTTAATTCGTTTTTGCTTGAATGCTTCGGCCTTTAGCCGTTTGTACTATTGGTTTGTAAAGGAAATGATAGGTATTCAAATATTTACCCTTCGGTTTGTTTTATAGAAAATCGTAATTACAAAACGAGTACCCACCTAGTAAGTACTACAAAAACATCAATTTTTAAATATAGAACGGTTGTGACTACCTTCTTATTGTCTTAAAATATATTTAAGTTCTTGCTTTTATGCTCTCTTTTATAATATCCCCATTAAGTGGTCATGTTCAATTTAGATAGTTGCGTCATTTACGTTAAGTAGTGTTGAAGATGTCATCTACGTTAGCGGTTCTGCTACTTGTAATGAAAATAATATAAATAATGAAAAAAAAAAATGTGTCAGCGACATCGTCCGCGTATAATATTTGTAGTATAATAGTAGTTTTGGGTGTCAAATTCGTTTTTGCAAACCTTTACGGAGAATTAATTGTTCCTAGAATTGTCTCTTCTCTTCTTGATTGGTGAATTATCTTGAACATTTTTCGCAGAGTAGGCATCGGAAACCCACAGAGATGAATAATTTCCCCAGTTCTTTCCACACTTTCCGCTGTTTCTTCGCCTCTATCAGCCACAGCGTATTTTATAGCCTAAAGCCTTCCTCTATCAATATTCTAACTTAGACAAAACGCATTTTTCAATTCAAGCCAGTAGTTTCTAAGATTAGCACGTTAAATCAAACAAACAGTTCAGCTTCATATATTAGTATGATATAATAATAATTTTTACGCTTTACCGTAACTCCTGTTACCTGTTGTCAAAATTCGGTTGCCATGGCAACATTGAATATCCGCAAGCAAATTTCTTAGGTACAGTAAATATTGGAGAGTTCTTTATACCAGTGAATAACGCGGATGAACACTCGTAAATTGCAAATCATAGACGAGAGTGATATCTCAACGTAATTATCTTCGGTAAAGCTAGATAATTTGGTATTCGAACGGTATTGTTGTTTTGGAGGTGGAAATATTGAGGCTGTGAAACCTATAATTTCGGGCAATTATTTTGTGAGGTATCGGTTGAATATACGAATGAAGTCTTGTTATTAAATTTTTGAGGCACGAAAATATGATTTGGTAAGCCCATTTTATGTATGAAAGGATAATAAACATTGAGTATACGAACTAACTTTTTTACATTAAAATTAAGTGTATATTAAAAAATTAATACAGTACAAAACGCTATGTAGATATTAAATTAATTTTATATTCTAATATTAATGCAATTATTTCTATTTATAATATTAAATATATTGTTATTTAATAATAATTAATAATCTATGGGCTATTACTCTATAGTTTAACAATAAATATTAATTCATTGTGAAACTACTGTAGGAGGGTAACATTATTCGTAAAGAAAGTCCGTATAGAATATAAACAGATGAATATAATAGATGCGAGGTTTTGAAAGCATTAAAAAATAATTATATTAGAAAACTCGTAATGACAAGACTTTTTTGTATAACAATAATCGTTCCTACTCGCGTACTTACAGACTGTCTTACAATCTCATTTCGGGTCTATTCTATAATTACAAATACAATATAATATGCTAGACAAAACCTGAGAGTTTAATATATTATGAAATTATATTGTATAATGAAATACCGCCTTTGTTACAGTCTTAAACCTATTTTCTAATCTAGAGTTACAAACACAATGTGCAAGGCGATATGTAGAAATAAAACAATATAAAGTGTAATACCAAACCATAGCATACTACGTAATATATATAATAATTAGTAGTAAAAATCTTTACAAAGAAACTCGGGTTATCTAGTTGTTCAGCTATTGTAATTTATAAATGGTTTTGGACGCCAGTCTTCGCTTATGTCAAAAAGCCGATAGCCATGTTTTTCAAAATGGTCGAAAGCCTTATACAATTTAAAAAAATATATATTACAAGTTTTTATATCCTCTGCAATTTCAATATAAACAAGTTTTAGACGACAAACACATTTATGTGTTTCCAGATCGGTGTAATACACAGGCAAGTAGTTATCAGAATTAATTGTTAACAAATTGTTTACCCGGGTTTCGAACTCAGTACCGCAATGCTAGACAAAACATTTAGCAAGTGCGATCTTATTTCAATATAGTCTTAAAAAATATATCTACCACGTTTGAAGTTTGATTACATTGATATGTAGTCATTTGTTTTTTGCGCCGCTGTATCACTTCATTTATGCACTCATACAAACTGGTACAGCCCGTTAGATAAATACAATCGTCGTTTGATTGACATTACATTATCGTGCGATACGCTATCGTTTTGTAAACCATTTGACATGGGCCTATAGGGCTTAGGAAATGGTACACGCCATTATCGAATGTAACACTTACAACGGTTTCAAACGCGAAGTAAACTAAATACTGTCTGTAGTTTACGCGAGTAGTACACACTTAAATGGTTTAAAACGCGATATATGTATGTATATTAGTTATACTAATAGGCAGTAGTTAAAATAATGTTCAAATAACTTTAACTAATATATATCTCGTTTTAAACCGTTAAAGTGTTTTATTTAAATGCGAAATATACTTGTGAGTTTACGAGAAGTTTAAGACGTTTTTAATGGTTTTCACATTAGGTACACCGGCAGTGGTCAAAACCGTGTCTTATGCTTTGGGCAGTCTTCATCGGTCATTAAAACTGAACAAACTTTCTTTCATGCTTCAATAGATTATTTTTTTATTCAGTATGGTTACAAATTTCGTGACATCTCTCTAATTCTCCATCTTTGATTGCAATCTTATTAAAACATTTGGGTATTGCAAAGAAAATGACGATAAATTAAAGGAGAAAGCCAAACCGTTGTATTTCGTAAAAGAACAATATATTGTTGTGGTGAGTGAGAACTAACCAAGTTTTGTGATGACTATGGAGAAGGGAGTTCTGGAGAAGGAAGCCCCAATGAAGGGCATAGTTGCTCAAGTAGTGACAATGCTTAATGGCCAAGCACAGAGGTGAGTATTTTGTTAATAGTGTGTTACATTTTTATACTTACTTATTAAGATCAAATTTTTACATTTGTAACTAGAATCCGGTAAAGAAACTGCCAATTCTATAATAATACAATTATCAACCAATAACTTCATGACTATAAAAACACTTAATTTTTTCTTTTAAGTAGTATTTCGCGTAAATGAATAATTTTCAGATAGTTAGGATTCAAAACTCAGTTCTTATCTTTATTTAATAGGTTGCCAAGATTATGTTTCCCAATAGTGAAAAAGTACTATTAACTACGTTTTCAAAAACACAGAACTCTGGTCAGATTCTAGTTGATCTTCTATTTTTAACAGAAATATGTCCGCTTTACATTCCACATAACGAGGTTTTAGACATGATTAGGTCGATAAGTGTATTTTTTATTTTATACATAGCGCATATACATTATAGGCACAATTTGTGGTATAAAATAAAAGTAAATACACAAATATACAATGTTAAGTTGTTGCTTTGTGCACTACAACTTGTTTTACCATTAAAACAGTAACGCTCCTTTCAAAACTGATAAAATCCTTTTTTTATGTAACCTTTACGAAATCCACACATATGCTATCGTAAAAAGTTATCGGTTCCGTTATGTTACATAAAGTTTTTATATTACGTTGTGTATTGATTGGTTTTATAACTGTTTAAGTACTGGAATGGGTTATAAATAATATTGCAATATTCCATACCTAGACTTATTTGTACACTGTAAAAAATTCGATCGACATTAATAAAAGTATACACCAGTTTTTATACTTTATTTTTTTATCGCGCGTATCTTATTCTTAAGCAGGGATTAATAGTGATTTATGTTAATGAGAGATTCTTTGAAATATTCCAGCAGAACTAGGTTATGCCGCTTCTTATATATAATATATATATTACCGGTAATTCACTTCTTACCTGTGTAAGGCTTCACTTTAGCTTGCCCGACACATACCAATCCTTTATATTTTACCACAAGCAAGTGTGTTGATGTCACTTTAAGTTTACTGGAAAAATTTACCGTTATCAAACTATCAAATTAGACCTGAATATCCAGAGCCAATATGGAACCTCATGCTTGTCTGTCCTCAACTATCATAAATATTAAGAAATAAAATATTTATTTAAATAAAACACTTTAACGGATGAATAACCAGCTTGAATTTATTAAATTCATAATTACACTGTGTGTATCTGTGACCTATAAACAAAATAAAAAAAAAAAAAAAAAAAAAAAAAAAAAAAAAAAAAAAAAAAAAAAAAAAAAAAAAAAAATTTTTCCCCCCCCCCCCCCCCCCCCCCCCCCAAAAAAAAACAAAAAGGGGGGCGGAAAAAAAAAAAAAAAAAAAAAAAAAAAAAAAAAAAAAACCCCGTTTAAAACCGGAAAAGGTTTTAAAAGTGTACTACTCGAACTATAAACAGTATTTAAAATTGTAATGCGTTAAACTACACAGACAGCTATAAAACCGTTTTCGAAATTGGTAACACATATTTTGACGTCCATATGCAGGTTAACGATTGAACATAAGTACCACCACGGCTGCTGCAAAGCATTCGAAACGTCGGGTCGAAGTTAAAAATCTTTTTCAAATAAGTTTAACTAATATATATCGCGTTTTAAATCGTTAAAGAGTTTTATTTAAATATTAGCACAGTTTTTTAGACGTACTTACAAAATAATGCCAATGATCAAAGTTATGTTCGATGCTTATCCAACTTGTTCTCAGCAGCAAAGCGAATCATGATTGAGTGGTCATCACAACCATCATTATGCAATCTTAACAGAGACAACCTTTTACATAATTATTGTTTGCGCTGATTTTAAGAGCCGTTAGCTTTCAATATTTATTGCGAAATGTGTGTTGCGGTTTTTGCATTTAATAAAACACTTAACGATTTAAAACGCGTAAATTATTAGTATTTTAATTATGAACCGAGGTATCGGATTCTAGAATTGTAGTCTCAATGGAACAAAATATGGGGGCCCTATGTCAAAGTCAAAACTGCGCCGCTAACGCCATCTGTTTACATTTAAGAAATATATGTATACGTTTTTAACTTCAAGTATTTCTCTACTACGTAATTATCAAAATTCCGTCTACTTTACATCCCATCTTCTTCCAATGGAAATACCGTCTCATATAAATTTGTCTCGGTTTGTGAGTTTTTAAATATCCAATTCCAAAAAGGCTCGACATTGCATTTTGACTAGATTTTATAGGGCCGGTGCATTTTACATTAAGCGTGTCCTATGTTTAGTCCTGGTTTACACGCGTAGTAAACATTGAAATAAAACACTTTATAACGGTTTATAACACGAAAATTTATTTAAACTTGCATATTTACAATTTACTTTAAACTATCTGTGCCCGCGACTTGGTTCGCGTAGAATAGTGAGTTGGGGTAGAATTTTTATTAATTTATGTAATTGCGCATTTATCGCAGCCAATCTATGTTGTAAGTGCTACTTTGCCGCAACACTCTCACTTCACTCCTACTCTAAATCCCACCCTCACTCCCACTCCCACCCCCACTCCCACACCCACATCTATTCCCAAAAAGCCAAAGAAGAAAGTTTCATCGTTCTAGCTTCAAAAACCACGAATTTCCATACAAACTTTCACTCCCCCTTTTAACCCTTCACAACCACCTTTTCGCAATAAAAAGTACCCTATGGCCTTTCTCACGGTGTAGACCATCTTAAATTTCATTCAAATCTGTTCAGTAGTTTTGGCGTGAAAGAGTAACACACAGACAGACAGAGTTACTTTCACATTTATAATATTAGTAAGGATTCGACCCGGAGTTTCGGATGTTTTGCAAGTTTTAAACGGTTAAAATTATTTGTCATTTGTCATGGAAATAGCTGTATATGACACGACGATCATTAGCATCGTCGTTCTATCAGTTTTACAAGTGACAGACTTACAGTTACTTTAACAATGGCATCTCCACGATCCGCCTGGCTGACTGCGTACTATAAACTGCTACCTTATCAGACCTAGACTGTTAAACATACACACTAGCGTAAAAAATATGGCATATAAAAAGGACGGATGTCTGTTTATTTGTCACTATTTTACAGACAAACAGGGTTGACCACTGACAAATCGCGAGACCGATGTGAAATTTTTAAATTAAAACTTTAATGGTTAATAATAATAAGGCAAATAAAAACACTTTTAACGGTTCAATATTAGTTAACAACGTTACAATGAGAGTCCAGTTCGGGATAGTCATTTCCCCCATGATTACGGCTGCTATAAAGCATCCGTAACGATCGATCAGTTTAAATAACTTAACTGATATATTTCGCGTTTTAAACCGTCAAAATGCCTTAACTGTTTATGAAACTAATGTACCAAGACAATAAGAGACTTCAATGGCCAGCTCGTCATGAGCCTATACGAATTCTTGACACAACGTGAGTCAGCTGTGTACAGTATATCTGCGTTAGTATTGAACGGTCCCACGCATGCGCACCAAATACATCAAGGCTCTGTACCGGCGACCCTTCACAAAATAAACAAACCTCGCCTGACACTGACCCATGAGATCCTCGTGATCTTTAACTGTAAACAATCGCGAGTGAAACTTTGCAGAAATAATTTTGCAGGCGTATATTTTTTATGGTGGTATTTGTAGTATTGTTACATTAGGAAATTATACATTTTTTATATTGTATGAACCCGACATGCGTAATAAAAGAGTGAGCCAGTGTTTTGCTATCGGCTTACGTATAAACATTTAAATTAAATGGTGCAAAACAAGTGAATATAACATTAATAACAGATACTCGAAACAGACTGTGAAAAGAAATCGACACTCAATCGTTCGGCGTGAATGGGTAGGGCCGCGAGATTCTCGTTACACTGTTCAGTGCGGTCCGCTCGGTTGATGCGTGCGCGCAACTCGGCAGCTATGCGTTCCGCCACGTCCACGGCCCCTTCCCTGGGGGCACGGAGACAGAAGACCGACTTGCACGTGGCTGAACCGTCAAGGTCTGCGAGTCCAGCACCGAGTTTGCGTAGTCAGAGAGCGAAACAATACAGGTTATTGAATTTGTTTTTTTCGTGTTTTTTTGCGTTTCGCCTAACTTTCCTTTATCTAGCGATAAGTTTATCGGATATTGGTGATTTTATTGTCGATGTGAGTGCACCTGTAATAAATACGAGGTCGAACAATTGCCTGGTCGTAAAATTCATTTACGGAATAAAAGTCAAGGTCTGCTCTATATTCGATTGTTTTTGTTTAATGCAAGCGGATTTTGCGTTGTGTTTTCATTATTGTATGTAAAACGTTAAAAAATTGTCCTAAAAATTATACGAAACACATTTTTCATGACTGAGTGACCGCGGAATAGTTATCGAGAAAAGAGTTTTTGTTTTTTATTTTTTAATGATAACTGTTGCATTGTTTTTTACGCTCTATCGCTTAATGTCATAACCGGATGCTAGAATTTCCTTTCTGGTGCAGTTCTTACTGCTATCACGATTTTCTATTCTGTTTTCGTTATTGCTCTCGGTATCTTTCAGAACTTCTAGGCTTCAGGATTGTTTATAAATATGCTCACGTTCCGCTAAAGAATCTCACACTTGTTCTGTTATCATTGTTCTCAGACATGTAAGATGAGATAACATTGTATTAGCCAAACTGGAAATCCTTCAGCTTTTTAAAGTTATATAAATAAACGACCAGTGCGATGATGGAACTATTTAGCAACTCTTAACAAATCAAGAAAAAAACATTTTATCATAGAGTAGGATACTACGATGCGGCTCACTTAATGATAGGTATACAATACTATATACAATACCTATCCATATACGTAACATCTAAACAAGATTTGCTATCGACCTTTCCTTCAAAGATTTGATTGACCAAATCTGTTGCTCTTTGGTTAAATATTATCTGCATTATCATAGAATCCCGGGATAACTATAATTCGCGTAAAACAGACAGCATTACGGATGCCTAACGGGATATTTTTGACAGACATCGTATTCCATAAACAATGTAAGTGAAAACGAATGGGTGTTATGTATATCTTCTTTAAATTTGTCTGTAGGCTATCTGATGCCTTGTCCACACACCACAAATAAACTGCCGAAACCAAATGTTATATATTATAGAAACTCAATAACCTTATCTATTAAAGGAGGAATTAGTATATTTTTTTACCTAATTTAAAGTAAAGTTTTTATTACACTCGCCATACAAACATAGACGACATTCTATTGTAAGTTTTTTTTATTGTTTTCCATTTTACAAAACATGCCGACGCAATGAAACGTGCATTCACGCAGAAATGTGCTATTTGATCCATCGTATTTTTGTAAATTAGTACATCCGTTATCAACAGACAATTCTGTGACTAATATACGTGTCGCTTCAATGTATGTATATAGAACATTTCTTATTAAAGTTCGTGAAAACATTTTAGGGCACTAAATGTTGGTAGCAATTTTTAAATCTTTAATACGTAGTATAAAGTTCTTATATCCTATAGTTTTTTTTTATATCCTTGCCCTTTGTATTCTTAATTCGTTTGCAATATAACAGACACAATCTTTTCTCCTTAGTTAAAATAATATCAATAATAATATACTGTAAAACGAAGTAGCATCAATGTTTTGATGAAGAAACTCGTAGAAATAAATCTAAGAAAACTCATGTAAATATGAGTCACGATAAATACGTGTATTATATTACTATTGTAGGTACACTAAATAAAAGAGTGACACCTCATTAAAATTGTGTCATGCCTAATGTACACACGCCCGTCAAATTTTGCTAATTATTTTTGTACGGATTAAGTCACGCCCTTCGGTTTATCTATATTTTGTTTTTCCTATTCATGTCCTCATACATACATAAAATTGTATAACACTTTAATTCTTTTTTACACTCACATGATGGCTCTTTATGAATTAAAAAACCGATTTAGATCATTGCGCGAGAGGTGCAAGTATCATAGGTTGAAAAAATGGCCGATGTGTAGGACACGGTAGCTCAATTGGTTAGAGCAACAGCAGAGCTACGCCAGTTGATGTCCCGCCCGTGTCGTAAATATTTAAACTAAAATCGATTATTTAAGTATTATGCAAATGGAGAACCTTTTTTATTAAATTAAAAATCGATTATAAATGTGTGTCGTATTAAAAAAATATATAATCGTTTAATTTATGTAGTGCCATCATGACGTAGAGTAACATGTGAGAAAAGTAAAGTTTCCAAATCTTTTTATTAGTCTTTTTCATATAATCCGGATATTGGTAATGAGGTTAGTTTCTCTTAGTGTAACTAATACCAATCCGATTTTAATTCCTTGTTCCGATACATAGGTTATTGTAAAATGAAACTAATATCGTTCAACAATATGACAGTATCTTGTTTCTTGAACATATGTTACATACGATAGTAATAATTATAATGAATCCCTTTATTTGGCATTGAACTACTTAGTTACAGTAGATAATTATAGTTAAAGTAAAACATAAATAATAATTAAATTAACACAGAGATAGGTTTTAATCAGCATAAGTTAGTAGCTGAAATATGCTACAACACTGATTTTCAGCGAAACCTTGCTGTTGGAGTACTTTTTATATTTTCCTACATTTTATTGTTAACATATGGAAAATACTTTTACGAACTACCCACCAGGTCGTTGCTCTTGTCACAGTACATTTAATTTGCCATGTACTTTTCATAGTCAGATAAAATGACAACTTTATAACGAGATGACTGATTCAACGAAACTAAATATTTCCTACGTACTTTACAATTATTATGAAGTATTTAATGATTGTGAACGATTGTTCGTGACCAGGATGTAATTTTTATATTTTCAGCACTTATTCGTGTTATAAAGAAGTCTTAAAGACAGCTGCACATATATTTAACATGACATATTTTAAAAAAATGTTAGAGAGATTCTGGACCTACTCAAATGTCTACCAAAACCAATTTGGAAGTCTGTAGTAAATATTATGGTGTCTCATATGGTTTGAATTCTCACATATATAAAATCGATGTGTTGCTATCTTATATAAACTAATTAACATCGTACTAATTTGAGGTAAAACTTGATTTATTTATGTACATACACTTACATGTAAAAATTAATAAAGTTTTCAAAGTAATGACACTTTATTTTTTTACTTCCGTCAATTTGTAAAATATAATAATGCCGAAACTGTTTACAACAAATATTTACGAATAGTCCTTGAAACGTCGTAACTATTGCCCCACTTTATCATATATGCCCATACAAAATTCTTCATATTCAAATTGCTGGTTCCAGGGCCAGCCTACCCATCAGAAGTGCGCGGCTCCTACAAAGGTCTCGCACACAAACACCATCAGACGCCGGCATCAGCGACGGCAGCACATCTCCAGCACCAGCCCCTTCATCCCTCTTACAGGACGTGGTCGACATAAAGACGCTGCTTCTGCAGCTAAAACGGGTCTTACAGGAGGTCAGTAAAGCATGTTACTTACCTACATTAGATAACAAATAAACGTATTTGATTATTGCATGTTTACTCAATCTAAAATTTAGTTGTTGTATTAATGTACGTCTAAGCTAATAAGTACAAAGTAGCTACTAAGTATTGGAAGTTACTTAGGTGTAGCTAGTAAGAAACCCTGTTCTAAGAAATGGGCCTTTATATAAGGGGCATGGGACGGAAATAGTAGTAGCAAATCAAGTCAATAAGTTTGAAGTATGTATAAAACTTAATTATAGACCTAAAAAAGTAACGTGAACATTTTCATTACTTCCTCTCACAACAATATACATACGGTACTGCTAAGTAGTAAAAAGTGAGTCCATGCTCTTGGTCCGAAATATAATGCTCTTAGAAAGTTAACATAAAAGTTAACCTAACCTAATTTAATTGGCATTGCGCATGGTAATGACTTCAAATGAAGTATTTGCCTCACGCGTGTTTTTAATCTGTAGCAAGATTGCATGTACACTTTGAATAATAGCATTGGTAATTAGGAAGCTATAATGTAGCAATATTCGATAGCAATTTATTAGTAATTGACTTAAACACAGTTACGAGATCGCCTTATCGTGTGCATATCTGTGTAATAAAGATTGATACCTAACTTCTAACGAAAGACTTTCTCGCGATCTGGGGATGTCAGAAGTCATAGATAATAACCATAGATAAAACTAATTAGTGTAGTTATTATAGATTATGTTAAGATGGTAAAAAGTTCAGATGTTAGCTCAATTGGTAATACGTAGATGATCCAATTTGTTATATAATTAGCAATTCTTTAAAAATGTTTTTGTTTCAACTAATTGTACACCTTGATTTACTAATAAATAAACTGTGTTTAACAAAACAACTTCATAACTTCAAAGTCTGTTGAACTCGGACCGTGCTTGCTGTAAATTGTTAGTCTGTAAAAATGTATGACTTTTATTATACTTAAAAAGCTTGAATTGTAATTTAATTTTATGTTGCTTGTTATACATTATGATTTTGTTTCGTTTCGTAATTTTTATGTTTTGGTTGCATCGTTTCGCTGCACGCAACTACAGCCCGGGGAGGAGCATCATTCGAAGAGTGTAAGTAACTGCACTGGGTTTATTGTTAAATTATTCGATGCGCTTGAGTGCACGAATTTTCGATTCGTTACGTCTTTCTGCTCGAATTTTTTATCTTTGCTTTGCTTAGTGGTGAAATGATTTTCTACAGTACTCTAAATGCATTTCATTATACACTTTTTATCGATATGATTACAAAGCTGGTTAGGAAAAATATTTATATGGAAAATTAGATAGATGATAATGACACAAATATTTAATTGTATTTTAAAAGATCAAGTCAAATCTGCACTTCAAATTAAAAATGGAATGTTTTTCAATCGGCAACATATTATTTACTTTACCGATCACCACCTTCAGCTATTTCAGTGACTGAAGAGTTTGCTAATATCGTTAAGATGGGTGATGATGGTGAGAAGTACCCGAGTGTGGTTTTTCTCTTTATCTAGAAAATAGTCAATTCATCAACAATACTAAAATATCTATACTAATATTATAAAGCTGAAGAGTTGATTTGCTTGAACGCGCTAATATCAGGAACTACGTACACTAAATACATTAATGACTTTACATGTTTGCGTGAAAAGAAGTCTACATAAAGAAGTGGTATGAAATGCATTTAGAAAACCTAATATGTACCTACTAGTGTGTGCAATGTCTCTATATAAAGCTTATCTAAAACAGCTTATAAACGCTTTCTGTTACTCGCACTCGACAGGCCTAGTAATGTTTCTGTGAAATACGTCTATATGTATATAATTATTATATACTTAAGATGTTTTATAGCCTAAAGCCTTCCAATACAAAAAAAATTCAATTCGAAAAGACTATTTAGTAAATAGTTTTAATAAGGCGCAATGGGACATAGGTCTTGTTTTAAAACTTATTGAAATACCAGAGAACAAAGTTTCTAAAGATAATTATTTTTTTTATCCTTAGTACATAGTTGTGAACAGTGGTAGCTTGTAGTACTAAATAAGCGAGGTATATTTTGTGATAACGATAAACGTGAAGTTATTGTTGTCCCCCAACCACTTGCACGGCACTGGTACTTCTATGACGTTAAGTGCACTTACGACGCGACATGTTCTAGTATTCATCGCGGGGCATTGCGGTTTTTGAAGGTGTTCCGAGTCGATGGTGTAATAGTCTACGGCTTATAATCATCAGACCAAAACGCTTCTAATCCATTTATAATTTTTTGTAACATGTTAGACATCGTCTCGAAATCCGGATAATCAAATTGGTTGTAGAAATATCGATATTCCATCCGTCCACTAATGAAAAACAGAACTTCCGTGAAGTTCAATCAGTCTGTGGATTTCTCAATATCCAAGACAGACAATATACAGACAGTTCATCTTGTTTAGGTGTTATATGGCTGGGCTTTTTAACTTTCCATCAAATGAACCATGCTAGTATGTTCTCCTCTGTCATAAAAAAGGTTATTTCAATAAATTTGGTTGCGGTACTTAAAGGCTTTATTCATAGCTACTCTTGATATTAAAAAATAATTCCTGCTAGTGCTTAAGTCTTACCACATGCTTCCATTGTATTCCAAAAAAAAAAAACTATATGGGGCTGATACGGTAAAGGCTTTATATTTTATTTTCCAAGCACTAAGGCTATTAAAAGAGAATTATTTATATTGCAGAGCGAAACTCTCGACCCGTTGCTAGCGGCGTGCGCGGAAGGCCCCGCGCGCGGCAACGGGCGCCGCCCCCCCGCCTCGCCGCTGCACCCCGACGCCTGCGCAGAGATGCGCCGACAGATCGTCTATCTGCAGGTGCCTATTCTTATTCTATCCTTATACATATCTGGAAGAAACAATGATTTTTCCTTTTTCGTAATTATCCTGTCTTTGAAATGATTACTCACCTATTTTTTTAAGAAATGGTACTTGACATACTTACCAATAATTTTATATTCCAGAGTCAGTTAGAAGAGCGTGATCGGCTGGTCCGCGTGTTGCAGCAGCAAATGTTGCGAATGGCTGAAAACCACGAGCCACGCCCAGACGACACCTGTAACGTTGCCACTCAGACTGACAGGGTAATTTACAAAGATTGTTTTGTGACAGTGAAGTTTAGTTAGTACTTGTCATTTATTTGTTATCTTTAGACAACCATCCCTAATAAAAAAATCTTCTAAGTTTCATAATTCTATGAAGTCACGGGCTTGTTGGTGTAATGGTAGACTAACAATCAACGGCTCGTGGGTCCGATCCCTACCGGGTCCAATACTTTCCTATTGATTTAAAAACTTTCTGAAATACTATTGACTTCGTCAGGAAACCCTGATATAAAATGGGTGGTAGGAATATGGAAATTCTACCTGAGTCACGTACATCTGAAAAAGAAGAGACAAAACAAAATAGAGCTTACATAGCAGATAAAAATTCGTTAGTAATTAATTGGTCTTTAATGATAACACCATTATATATCTATATTTCAGTTGCGGCCACCGATGGGCACAGCATTAGCGAGTTCTGAAAATTCTGGACTAGTGAGGTAGGCCAAACTTTTATAAACATTATTTTTACTTTTGAAGGCACTTATATATTCCATAAAACGTTTATACATTCAACGTTTTCTAAGTATTGTTGTATTGAGTATTTCCAATATTTTACACCATGTAACATAATATAATCTTCAATATGATATCTCTGGACTACCCCCTTTACACTAAAAAGTATGTAGTATTTACCTTTTCAACATACGATTTATATTTATAATTTTATGTATTTATTTGTTTTAGGTTTATTTTGGCCACGATAGCCTCATTCCGATCGTTAATATATAGTTTAGTCACATCCATTGCAATCTGTATACCCAGAATTCCACAACTGCACACATCATACCCATCCAATATCTATAACCATGTTAGATGTAATATTATTCAAACATACCGCTTAACATCTAGTATCAGTCAGTCTAAATGGATTATAACATTTAAGGAGTACATGAATAGAAAGATGACATTTACATCAACGTCTATGTGTAGAATTACACTTACAATGACGCCATATTTTACTGGTATTTTCTTTTAAAATTTATTCTAGAACCTCTATCTATATCTATTTTTATAGATAGCCGCCATTTTGTTTGATTACTTTTTTAATTTCCCTTGCTCTCATGTCAATTATCTTCATTTCTGTAGATTTTCAATTGGAGAAATCCCTTTACTTAATTCTCCCTTAAATTCTCATTTTTTCTCACATGCTGCTTTAATTTCTTTCGGATAAAAATGTATGGATGTGTTGAACGCGACAGTTTCCACTTGGGAGGTGCGCGGGTTCGTCCGTCGGATCAGGTAGAATGGTTGGATTGCTTGCTTGCTGTGTGTCTTCTGTGCTCGATCAATGTTATTTGCTTGTTGCATCTCTTTTACAGAAGCACGGAAAATATTTTTTACGATGGCGATTGCTGTAACAAAATTAAATAGGGCTTTTGAAGTACATCGGAAATTTTTATATGTGTATAATTTGTTTCAATCAGTATTGTTCTTTATAGAGATTTATTATCACGCATATATACAAGTTCGTATCTTCATATGAGAAGAGTTAAGAAATTATGTAAAAACTTTTATCGACTATATTAGAAGTAACATATAAATTGGCCTACAAATCAAGGCCAATATTGTATCAACGCTTCGATATCTTATAGTAATCAAAGGACGTGCAAAAATCAAATTAGATCCAAAATATGCCACATCGATCCGCCCTTGCTTAAAATACCCCAAACAATAGTTACCACTTGTGCCTTCAAATATTTTGGCGAATATTCTGTGATTACACATAGTCTTTGATAGTTTTTAAACGGTCTAACTTCTATAACTAGTCTATATTGTTGTACTAATTTGCACAAGTTTTTAACGACATGAAAAGTTCTTTGTATTAGGTAGATCTTCGATTGTGTTTTATAGTCTTTATTATGTTATTTAGTATGGCGATGACGATTTACCAATGTTTGATTAATGAAAACCATGTTTTATGCTTCTTTTGTTTTCGCTAAATGATCTGTGATTGATTGCCTTTTTACCTCTTACGCAAAAGACTGAATTTTTACTATATTGACCTCAGATAGTGATGTTTGTTTGGATTATGGAATTGTATTATGGTTTTATAATTAACTAATGTAACTTTGATTATGAAACTTATTTCTGTGTTACACGCTGCCTCATCAGAATTTAAAGGTAACTAAACATTAGAAAACCATTGAACAACTCAGTACTAAAATTATAATAGATTTTATGGCCCAACATTTGATTATACCATTTATTATATTTTCTTAGGAAAGTGTTGAATAATACTCCAACGAAATGGTTTAATATGAATCGTTTATAATTTTCAGTTGGAATGAACAAGGAAGTGGAAGAAAGCTGCCGTCTTATGGTGAAGCACAAAAGACAAAGAGACATGTTACCAACGGGGTAGTGAAATGTCAGTGTGGTGCGGTAAAAGTGAACGGAATTGACGAAACACAGACAGACAAACGTGACACTGTACATCTTAAGCCAAACAGCCGCGTCGGCACCAAGTACCTCCAAGCTGTTACCAACACAGAAAACCGACGATACATCAAGCGAGATTCGTCGCTAAGCGATAAGTCCGATCGAAAGAATCTCTACACAAACCGATCTCGATCCATAGAAAACTTCCAAAACCAAAATGACTCAACTGAGACCGCTAAACCCGCGGTGATCGAAGAGACTAACATCAAACATCATACCTCATATAGTGACTTATATAATGGAAGGATTAGCAGCCGAGAGAGTGTCAACAGGCATAGCCCAAGTTTGAACGGTCAATCAACAGATACAGACTATAGTTCTGACGGTGGATATAAATCACTTCCCTCGTCTATAAACTATGGTTCGCCCAAAAAGGTTAGCGGCATTCCAAGGAGGTCACTTGAGCAAAAATTCATATCTACAAAGCAAGTGAGAGCGAGCGCTGTTTGAAATTCTTAGTTTGGATGCGCTTTGATAATGTAACTTTCATTTCGGCCGCATGTGAGAGCTTTGTGAAGAATGTATTCAATTCAATAATCTTGATTGTAAAAGACTGGATTATGGGGATGTCACTGTTTCTTAAAATATCTTTTTCTTTTGTGATAACTCTTGACATAATTACATAAAGCTTAAGGCAGGTGTCCCGCCACCGACGAAGCACAAACAATGAGTAGAATGACTAGGTATGCAAGTAGATGGTTTCAGGAGTTCCGTCGCTGGGCAGCATTGCCCTTGTTCTTGTTCAAATATACTATTAGTCTTACCAAATAACATTGACAGACGATCTTAATAGTTGTCTACTTGTTAGTTTCACTCATATTCATTCATCAAGATTCCTAAATATCGCTGGTGGTTGGACAGCTGCCTTAAAATGATTATATGAAATGAGACTTAACTTAAATTGACGCGATCAAAACGCAGGAAAAAAAGTTCAAAAAGCTTAAAAATTAATTATACTTACCGAACATATTATACGTTTTAAATAACAATAAATATTACTTTAACGGTTTAAAATGCGATATATATTAGTTAAACTTATTTGATTTATTTTCTTTAACTTCGGCTTGACGTTTCAGACGCTTTGCAGCAGCCATGGTCACGGGGAGAAGTTCAAAAAAATCATTTTCAAATGAGTTTAACAATATATATTAAATACTATATTTTAAATCGTTAGTGTTTTATTTAAATATGTACTACTCACGTAAACTACAGGCAGTATTTAACAATAAACATTCGTTATGTGACACGTTATTTGTAAAGCGTCGCATTAAGCTCGAATTCCAGTTCCGGTAAAATAGTGATAAGTTTCGGTTGGGCAGGGCACAGACATCTGATCACCTACCTATGATCTGCCTATTAATAAAATTGATCAGGTAAGCTATATCACGTGGAGTAAAAAAGACAAATTACAAAACGTTTGATGAGTAAAAGTTACAAATAAAAATATTGAACTTTCTGGTAAAGTTAAAACAGTGACAGCCCATTTTGAATAGCATATCGTATACTTCTATGACATCTTATCGTCTCGGTGCCATCGTCGTCACAAATATTATTAAACTTTTCGCATTTATGATTCCTCGCTCGCTAAAGTTATCTAATAGGTTACTTGGATGCCAAATTAAATAAAAATTGTTGCTTCCGCAATGTGCTTTTATTTTGACTTGAAATTAGTTGTTTCAGAAGTTATTGCGTTGCGCAATTGTTTTATGTAAATTTTGATTTTCTGACAACCTGTATTATATTATAGGAATAGTACTGGAAACTATTTTTTGTAGTTATTAATTTATATGCGATAGAAATGTTATCTTAGATTTTCTATGATAGATAAAGTAGATAAAGCTATTATGTGATAAGAGTGGCTGTAAGTTCTTTATTTCAGTGTTTTATAATCCCTATATTATGAAATATATTTTCTGTAATCTTTAGTCGGGTATCAAATAGGTGTGCTCACACGGTTGAGAATTATAACAAGATTGGAAATGTCTAGACATATTTATTTACTTACAATCATTTTAGCTTAGTGTTTAAGCTACTGATCGCAACATATTCTATGGAATGGTTCATGAATGAATATTGTCATTAATAATTTACCTAAACAAATATTAGTGTGCTTCAAAAAAGGGTGTATTTACCATCGAAAACCTATTGATACCTAGTATTTTATCTATGAATAACTATAATATGTATAAGCATAATATTATATTACTTTCAGTGTAAATTGCTCCCTTTGAAAATATTATAGCTTTAGTATATATATAATTATGTAATTTAATTTGAAAATCAAACTGTTTCAATAAATAACTTTAATTTTGAATTTGTTGTACGTTTTTTTTACTCTCTTACTCTCAACTCGCTCTTCGTTTCAGCCGTTTCAAAGAATTCAGTCAAAGAGTTCCAGTGTAGACCTTGACCTGGTCGTGTGCCCATCTGGTAGGATATCGTCCAGGTTTTCGAGGTTCGGTTCGTGGTCTCCACTCCAAAATCTCTTTGCCCCAACAGCTATCAGTTTTACAAGCGTTGTGCCAAGTGCCCATGACCATTTTAGCCTCCTGATCCAATGGGTTATGTCTGTAACTTTAGTTCTCTTACGAATCTCTTTAAGCAAGGTAATGCATAGCCAAGGTCCAATTGCTTTAAATGGTGATTTCCAATTAAACTATACATTAAATAATGCGTAAGTAAAACAATATATCTATTTAACCATCAATCCCTCATAGAGTAACTACCTAGGAATAGCAGCCTAGTATATACGTTACAGACGTCTGATCAATATGCTTGGAAATACAACTTATGAATGATACAAAAACAAAATCACGCTTTGTTTAAAATTAGGTATGTATTGTTAAATTTTGCTTTGTTTCTAGCAACACGAACCCACGACCAATATTATTAGCCATACGACCAATAATATGGAGCATAAAAACGTATTACACATTAAACAGGCACATTTAAATAAAACACTTTAAACGGTTTAAAACGCGAAACATATTAATGAAAATAATTTAATGAAGTTAATATTTCGCATTTTAAAGTGTTTTATTTAAACTAATCAGATATTACAAAAACACAAGAAGACTTACCTATAGTCTGTAAGTATAGAGAATGGTGACAACGCGGGTCCTAGTTAACTTTCTACTGCGGTAATGTTTATTTATAGGGTATAGGGTATCTGTGATGTTTCGTTCTTGAACCTTGGACAAAGCGTTGATAAGCGTGTATACTATCACAGCTTACTAAGATACTCTGTGACGCCACAGTTTACGAACATGCAGTAGCAACATTTTATTTTAAGGCGTCTACACATTTATGCTATATTCCAGTAATAGAACTGGAAATATATATATTTTTTCTTAATAATGTCACGCTGGGACCAATCAAAGGAAATGAGGAAAAAACGGGGAAATTTATTCATCTTTGAGGGTTACAATTGCGTGCGCTACGAAAATACAAAATAAATATGTATGATAGAATGATTCCTCTTTAAAAGACCAAAAATGTGGTAGGCAGTATATCTCTATCTTTAACACAGAACGACGGGATGCCACCGAGGTCGTGGGTAACAGCAATAATTTATAAAGTTTACAAAAACAATTTCTAATAATATAGAATACCCCATAACTAATATCTATAGTACTAGTAACTGAATATTGTTTTCTCAAAGTTTCTTAGCTTACTCATAAAACTCTCATAATGTATTAAAAATTCACATACATTTTAATTTTTAATGATATTCCTATAAGCCCTGTCCGTCAGAAGTACGATTTCCCCACTACAAATTCATATTCTGGTAATTGATTAGCTATACGGGAACTGTGCGGGTCATTCTAATTTCCAGTTTCACTCGTCACTCGAACTGCGCTTACACAACTGCTAAAATAAAATTACAAAATCTATTTCGCTCCAAATATTCTACGTTCACGCGATTGTGTTATTGTAGTATTAGTGAAATTGTTTGAATTTAACGTGATACCTGCGATACCTTTTGTAAGTATTGTGTTAAATATATGACGAACAGTTTTTGTTTACTAATATTTAATGTGGAATGTTTATCAAGAAACGAACAGGATGTTTTTATGTATGTACATTCACCCTTATGTGTATCTCTTACTTTGCTTTTCGTTTGTAAAGATATTTAAAATTATAGAATTATTTTAACTAATATTTATTACAATATTGCTCTTTACTTACGGAATGGAACATTTGTATTAACTGTTTTTTCAGTAGCATTAAGTAGCACACTAGCCGAGTCATAAAATTAACACAATAGCAAATACAATAACTATGATACTAAATGTTTCGATTGTTTAAGAATGATTTGAATGATATCTTAAACCATTACATTCTTGATAAATTCCAAACATGCAGGGACCGTAGTTAAAATAAGTTAACTTATTTGTTTCGGGTCTAAACCGTTAAAAGTGTTTAATCGTGCCTACTTAATGTGTATACAAATATATATTAAATGAAATCATTACGTGATTAATGACGTTTTATGATGCATTTATTTTACTAACTACTTCATGTATCTTTTATTAGAGGTCACAACGCGGCCTTTTTATCTATAGAGATATCAGTTTATTTTCAACATAATCTAGTGAAACTAGTTAAATGGAACACGATAGTATATAATATATGAAGTTAATATGTATTACAAACCTAACTATATCATGTATGTAATAAATAATATTATATAGAAACCATACAAAATGATTTGCCGCAATTAGATTCTTAATATTTATATTTAATGGTAGTAATGATTGATATTAATGGGTCGCGAGTTCGATTCCCGCCGAGCCTAGAAATCTGGAAAATCTAATCATTAAACGAAAGAAGGAATAAAATAGCGGGTAACGAACCACCGACTAAAAATGGATTGAATTGTTTCGTGTTTCGGTTAAGTTTGGTGTATTTACGAATGTCCACAGCTGAAACAGATCGATGACACATCTTTACTATAGGTCGTTTTATTTTGTAGTAGATTCTATGCGCGTCTGTCCTCTTTTGTTTTTTTTTTTAATATGGGTTAATAAAAATCATTTTGTGTCATAATTCTTATTTAGGGTGTAAAGTGTAAATTTTGTTTGTTTTGTCCTTACCTAATCTAACAATTGAATGTCAATAAACTTTAAATCGATATTTTTGCGATTGTTTAAGCTAATTACAGTACAAGCAGATAATTGTCGTGATTTTTGTTTCGGGAATGACGCATAAATATAATTTAAATTCACTCGATCTACGCTCGTTTGCTTTTAATATGTCTGTGCCAAAAACGTGATGAAAAAAGTAAAAAATCGATGCTGAGAGAGAATTGCTAAGAGAAAGTCACCAGGCACTATAATTCTTTATGGTGAAAGTGACCCACGGCTACTTCCAGCATCCGGTCGTTCAAGCGCTCTAAAATCACCGGCACAAGACCAGCAAAAGTGCTTTAAATACTGCCTGTAGTTCACATTTTAATGGTTTAAAACGCGATATATATTAGCTAAACTTATTTGAAAATTATTTTAACTACGGACCGACGATTCGGATGCTTTGCAGCAGCCGTGCTCACGGGTCGAATAATTTACAAATAAGTTTAACTAATATATATCGCGTTTTAAACCGTTACAACGTTTTATTTAAAAGAGTGATTTAGCAAGATATAACTTTTTAGTATCTACTGCAGCAGTTACACAAGAAATAGTGATTACGTCACACTTTAAGTAATTAATGAACTTGACAGTTAATTTAACGATTTTTTTCTATCTTCAGCATAAATGAAACATTATTTCAAGATTAATTTGAAGCTAATAGAATAATTAATACAACATGAGGAAGGAACCACTTAGCATGCGATCGAGATTGAGGGAAGAATTTTACACATATTGCGCCTTTTGGATCGCAGTTTCGACTTTGCCAGCGCTAGCCGTTTCTTATGTTGGTGAGTTATTGCTTTTAAGATCTGTACGAAAAAGTAACGGAACCTTGACGTGCTCGTTGGTCTGATGGTAGGAACGATCAACGAGTCTAGGGTTCGATGCCACCGGGTCCAATATGTTTCTAATTTAATTTAAAAATCGAAAATAAATTGAAAAAATTTTCGACTCGGGCAGTACTTGAACCGGCGTCGGTAGCGTTCCGTGCTGTTGCTTTACCAATTGAGCTACCGAGGCATTTTTTTTTCAGTTTATTTTTGATTTTTAAATTATACAGTGCCTTCATGTGCAATAACATGAAAAAAATAATAAAATTTTCACAACTACTACTAAGTTTCAAATTTTTTAATTTATAATTTTTCTGAAACACTGCTGGACTCTTTCTGGAAACCTGAATATTAAGTGGGTGGTAGGAATATAGTGTTCATTTCATTTCATCTTAACTTATATTAAGGTGGCTTTTGTACATGGAAGCAATTTCTGCCCGTCTTTGCTTGAAAACAGAAAATATGGTAACAGCTAAAAACTTCAAATATTCAAATTAATTATAAACACGATAATTGTATGCATAATTAAATACAAATACTGCTTATCTAGACTCGAACTTGGCCTTTTTTTCGTATTTAATTATACCTACGAACCGGATTCATTGTACAAAAAATAAAAATAGAAAAGATCTAGATCCGCATTGAAAAAATCAAGTTAGATCGATAGGAATATAAGTGAATTAATCAATTTTATCTCAACATAGAAACAGACAAATTGATAATGTTTTCTGTTTTGTTATCGTATAATAATGATGATTGCGAGGGTCAACGATCGCGTTGGTAGTAACTACGTATACTTATAAATTGGTGAATTATTTCGTTCTAGTAGAGATATACCTACTTACGATATAATCTGTTCACAAAGTTCGTTTATACATTACTAATGTTCACATATAAATGCGCGTAAGACCATAAATTGAAAAATCTGCGCTAGTGGGAATCGAAGCCATAACCATGGGTCGTCGTGAACTTATCGTTTGTGTCATTGATAGATGGCACCATTGTTTTTGCAAACCGCACATTACGGTACGGTAATACGACCCACGATATCGGTCGCGTCCCGTCGCTTCCGACCCGGCGTTCGGATCCCGTCGTTCTTGTAAGTTAGTTAAAAAGATAGACATATAGTGTTTTGGATATTCATTTGGATCATTTAAAGTGGAATCATTCGTTCATAAATATTTTTTGAGTGTCTTCAACCGTCTTCGCAGTGTACGCATCGGAAACCCACAGAGATGAATAATTTTTCTTATTTTTACCTGTCTTCATCGTTCCTATTAGTCAACCTCGATAAATGATCTATCTAACACAAAAATACATTTTCAAGTAGATTCTGAGCTTAGCAAGGTCAAGCAAACAGAAACATACTCTTCAGGTTTATATATTAGTTAAATATTTACACGTTATCCTATCATATAATAATTCTTAATCAATGAAAGGGACATAGAAATGTGTCCGGCGGGTGTCACTTGTGTAACAAGGTTTTTTTATGTACTTGCAGTTGTAAGGATAAGCAACCATCTATGGCTAAAACTACTATCAAGTAGATATCCAAGTGTGGATTTCATAAGGAATGCTACAGTTCGTTCCTTATTGGATACCAACAGGAACCAAGGAATCATTAATGTTTTACTCTGTATTAAAGGTAATATATATTTTTTGTTTAAATAATATGAAAAACAAAAAAATATATTTAGTGTGTGTTAAACAACATTATGTTACTGTTACTGGCATTTCGGTGTCACACCAGCCTCTTATATCGAATATTAAAAATATATCGTTATATGGTTTATCTGATTGTTTTTATATATTTAAAACAGAAAATTTAAAAACATGATACGGTCGGGACGTGAACCGGCATTTAAAGCTCTAACCAATTCACCTACAGTATTCTAGTAGTAAAGTATTGATTTAAATATACCAATTTTAACTGTTTTGAACGCGAAATATATAAGTGGAATTATTTTTTAAATGCTTTTTCAGTTAAAATAAATAAACTAAAATATTTCGGTTTAAAACCGTTAAAAGTAAACCACAGACAATATTTATTATTGTATTGTTGATGGCTCCGTAAAGGCATCCCTTTCTTTCTTTTAAATAATTAATTTCTGTTTAAGGTATCTTAAACGTCGATGATATAAAAAGCCAGTTGTCTCAACACGTCATAGATCGAAGAAATCAAAATGGCGAATTGATGTTTCCACGATTACGACAATTGCTCGTGTCCTATTGGGGAAATTATGCTTGGGACGCGAATGTACCATTCAGAGCTGATAACCATGTTTTTATGGCTAATGCAATTTACAGAGGTCGGCCTGTCAACGATGCTAATATTCAAGTAAGTTGATCTTTAGTCTGTCGTACTTGAACCTCAAGTTTTGGAGAGCAGTACCTACGTATTAGCCGACTGATCAGTAAAACGGACACATAAATGTGTTCGGCCCATGCCCCATGAGGAGAAATATAAAACAAATGTAAACTACACGGTTGTAACCGAATGACACGGTTTTTTATGGGTTACGTATGTGACCCGGAGGCGTCAAAACTAACCCGACGTTGCATGAAACGGGATATACTTGTTTTAACTACGACATAATACCGACCTAAAATGCCTTGTAAATGTGAAAGAATTGTCTGTGGTTTACACGATTACACAATTAAATAAGTCCTTGAACGCAATATGAACCGAATTTTCGGATGCAACAATGGTCACGAGTAATAAAAGAAGTTAAAAACAAGTTAGCCAAAATATTTCTGGTTTCAAACCGTTAAACGTTATCTACATTTTAAGTATAAATATGACATTTATAGATGTTTAACGATTCTTACAATATTTCAGGATTACGTTAGTGACGTCATATCTAAATACTTTCCGAGTGATCATCCACCATGGCAGTATATAATCATACCATGCGTATCTGCGGAACCCAAATATTACATTCTGATAAGAGCTCATCACCTACTTCTCACTGGAAAGAATTCCCTAAATATCGGAGATTTCCTTCTGATGGAACAGTTCCCGAACCGTTGCATGAACCAAGGGGAACAATGCCATAACAGTCCATTATCAAAACTCTTCCCAACACCGTCAGCTCTTCCGGAATTGTGGTCGAAAGTAAACGAAAATTTGTCCAATGTCTGGAACGAATTTATCTGCGAATACGACCCGGTGGAGAGTCCCCGAGCTTTAAAAACTCTTCCTGGAGCATTTCACGTAGCTGGTTTAGTTTTTATATCAGCAGCGAGTGCCTTGAGAGAATTATCCAAAAAGAGGACACAAGATAGAGATACATCAGCTCCTGTGACCGCAGCAAAATTCTTTCTCACAATCCAAAGAGAGTGTAAACGACGAAATTTAACTGTGCCAAAGGTAGGTCCAAATTCCGAAAGCGTAAAAACACTTTAGCGATACTCTTCTGAATGTCGGTCATTTATTTAAGACATAGTCCACTTCACAATCAAAACAACTATATTTATGAATATATACCTACTGTTGTAAAATAAGACGAAGTTCTGAATCCGTTTGTAATGGTAGTTTACTTGGCTGATGTTTAGAGTCTACATAAATGCACGATATTGAGTAAAATAAACGAATTTTAATTACAGATTTTAGTATCACCTCTAGTAACTGTAGACCCAAGAAAATGGCCACGAAGAATGTTAGAAACCGCTTTATCGACGTCCAAAACTATTTTAACTTTGCCAATAAAGATTCGGGACGAAATGGTCGCAGTGAACCAGCTGAGGACGACTGGTCAAGTACGACAAACGCACACATTAACTTGGAAATATGGGGATTTGGCACAATTGTTCGTAAAAGCTACCAGTGAAACACTAAGAGGAATGAAGGAGGCGTACAGGGCGCCATGGAAATTGTGGACGGATACCATTGGGGCTGATGATGGGAAACGACATTTGCTTCAAACTATTTCGCTTTGCGGAAGAAAGGTAAATAAGATCCAACGATTAAATTATTTTTTCATTATTTCCTATCCACCATACTCTGCTTACACATTTTTAGCATTCATTTTCAGGTAGCGTCCTTCTCTCGTCCAATACCCCGGGCTAATATCGACAGAGCAGCACGCGCTTTAGGAGTATCGTCCACAGACATTGCATTGTTTGCTGCAACTGAATCATTGCGGGCCTTTTTCGAACATGCCCAAAGCGACACCCCCGACTCAATTCTAGTCTCAGCGAGAGCTGCTTGTGAAGATTTCCTATATACGTTTGCTGAGGGCAACGGAAAGAAGTACAAGAAATATCAAACTGGAGGTACATTTAAATATATGGTTTTATTTTAAACAAAAGTTCTTTAGAAGAATCCTGTTTATAAAATATAATTTTTTAGGTATGGTATGCCTGTCTATCCCCGTTGGTGCAACACCGCGCCGCATTGCATCTGTGGTAGAAGAAGCATGTAGTCGTCAAGTAGCATTAGCTGGGGCGTGGGCCGCTCAAGCGAGATGTGGAGCTTTAACAAGATCGGTCCCTTCCCCATTTGCTAGACTGACACTGAACGTTTTATCTCGACGATATGCAGTGTCCTACGCAGAAATTAACGCGCCGATGGACGCTAGACCACGCAAAACATTATGGGGACAAGATGTAGATGCCGTTATATATTGGAGACCACCGCAAGCGAATATAAGTATGAATATGCTACTTTTTATAGACGAGAGACAAGCGTGTGGTTCACTTGATGGAAGGTGAAATACCTTGCTATATATATTGCTATTTATTTTGGATTTGGCCATTCGATTTAACTTCACAGCTTGTTTTTTATCTGTGGACGGACGGAATTTTGATTTTCCTATTATTCATTTAAGTATTTATTTTTCCAGAAAAATATATAATATTTAAAACCCATAACCCGTAGATTAGGAGCCATACATTTCTACCAAACTAACCTATTAGTCAAACAGACACGTTGTTTGTGACATAAATCATATTAAGCAATATTTAAAGAATATTTTTTTTAGGTATGTCCCTGACCGTCATTCAATATGCAGACACTGTTCGTCTTACTATCATGGCTGATGCGCGACTGACACCACTTCACACGGTTCCCACAACAAGGTGGCCAACTGCAATAGAACAGCTCATCAACAGAATAGATCAACAACTCGCTAGAATTGCAGCTCAAACGCAAATCCCCCCTACAATACCACAGTCTAGAGAAACACCAACCCAAAGTACGCCACAGACCACAGAAGTTACACAGGATCGTACAGTGCCACAGATTATAGAACCCGATCCAGAAGCAATCGAGACTCGAGAAATAGACAATAATGAAATTAGCGAAGGATCTTTAATGCCGCCTACTACTATCCCAGACAGTCCACCGCCTACACGGCATAGCTTTACATATGAGTAATGAAAGAAATAGTGGCATTTGGTTTATTTTGCACTACAAAAACGTCAGCCAAAACATTGGTTTTGGAAACGTATAAAATTTAGTCATTATTGTTTTGTGTTTGATAACGATGTATTGTTGCTTCCAGACATTTACAAAGTGACATAATACGTGACTATTTATTATATTATCTGTAGGATGAATTAACTATCGCAGACTACATGGCAATGAGGTTTAATAAAATAATTCGTTTTTAATATATTCTATTTATTGTTACTTTTTTGTCTTCTTCTTCTTGCTTTTGGTTTGAACGTTCCGTTTTTTGCTCGTCAGATCCGTGATATCTACGACTTCAATAACATCAGGTTGTTCTACAAGTTCTACGTCCATTTCTCTATCTTCATAGCTAAAACCTGGTATGATCGGCTTAACTAGTTGAAAGACTAATTTTCTGTGTTGTAAATTAGTGCTATCTAAGCTGAGACGCACGACGATTTCGTCGAATGTTTTCAACACAACTCCGTTGCATATTTGAACGTGTTCCTACAAAAAATCATGCAATACATTAATTATCGTTCATCAGTTGGTAGTAAGTTTACACATATTGTCTTTCACAAATTAAGGCTGTATTTGTTTCATTGATTTTCCGACACTTGCCTGTAATTGGCAAGAATCGGATCACTCTTTTAGGGCCTCCCCAATGCACTCAAAGAGTACATGTGCACGACATATTTTTTTCCCAATGTTTTAGTTAAGGTACTAACGCACTTAACGCATCTTGTGGACAGATTTTAAGTTTTCATTTATACAATATCTTATTTCGCGTTTTAAACCGCTAAAAATCACTTTAATTAAATGTGTACAACTAAACTACAGCCGATAATTATACAATGACTTACTTCTTCATTATAGACAAATTTATCAGAAGGTAAGTATAATGGTCCTTCCAGTCCATACTTTGGTATAAGTACTTGTAAAGCGTTCCGTTTCACAGATAACACGACAGCAGGCTCAACCTCCACGCGGTCTTTAAATAGAATCTGGAAAGGGTTATAATGTTTATATATTGTAATCAAAACTACGCTGACATGTGCCACATGACAAATGTAGAAGATCAAATATGTGAAACCCCGTTTCCCCTCGTGGGGCATAGGGCAAACACACATCTGTGTCCGTTTCACTTATCGGTTTTAGTTACAGGCAAGTAGTTGACCAGACTTCTGTCCTTGCCTTGCCCGGCGGAACAATTAACTGTTTCCCCGGGATTCGAACCCAGGACCTCTCGCGCTTAACGCAATGCTAGGCAACACGTTTAACCATTAGCTATCATTTACTTTATACCCTTTATTTAATTGTAAAATGCGATTGAAACAAAAATAAAAAGGGGGTGGGGGGTGAAGAACCAGTGTGAATGTTTTTATTTATTGCTTAAGATTGACTAACTCATTGGTCTAATAGTAGGTATGTAATCAACGGGTCGTGGGTTCGATCCCCACCGTGTCCAACAACTTTCTAATTAATATACAAATTTTAAAAAACACGTTTGTCTTGGACAACTGAATGTCAAATGGGTTGTCGAAATCGAAATTCCTTCCGGGTCACGAAACACTGTTCACAGATAAAAAAGCTATGAAATTTAATCGCATTCGCATTTCGGGTTCTGTCTGTGGATCTCGGAATATCCAAAGCCAAAGGAACCCCATGGTTATCTCCTCTACGATCATAAATAACATATTGTATATTATTTGTGGGAATGATTTTTTCTAAGCTACTGAGACGGCTTAAAGAGTTAATAGATCGTACTAACATGAGTGTTAAGCGCTACTGAAGCTCTACCCGCATACTGCGCTTGACGATGCCTATAGTTGAGGTTCTCGCATAACGACACCGCGTACTTAGTGTCCAAAATGCTGGCGTGAGTTGCGTCTGCGCCGATGCATGACGCAAGAAGACGATGCACAATGACGTCAGCGTATCTATGAAAAGCAATTAGTTTTAAACTTCCATGTTCATTATACAGCTTTGACTTACAGCGCAAAAATTACGCGACTTTGTGTATAAAAAAATATTTACATAGTTTTTTGCAGGACCTAAAAAGACCTTAGTTTAATATGTTACTTTTGAATAAATATTTTGAACAGTTTAAAATGAAAAATATCACTTATGCTTTTATTTTTTGACTACGGCCAAACGTTTCGGATACTTTGCAGAGGCTGTGTTCATGGGGAGACTAATATATTTCCCGGTTTAAACCGTTATAAGTAATTTATTTCAATGTTACTATTCATTTCAGCTAAGTACCATATTAGGTGCATTTGTCACGGCGTTAGAAAAAAAAACAATGACACAACTTAAATCATAATCAATATTTTAAATAAATGTTTTCGTTGTGGGGCATGAGGCAAACATCGGAGTCCGTTTCACAGATTTATTCATTTACAGGCAAGTAGGTGATCATCTTCTGTACCGTACAGACCGAAAAAATTTATAGATTCCAACCCAGGAACCCACGTTTAACCATTTAGCAACAACAAAGTTTTGAAAATTTTCTTCATTATAAGGTCTTTTATAAAAAAATTGTATATAGTTCAAATTAGACATAAGGGCACTTAAAATAACGAATATTGCTTACCTACGAATAGGCGACGTGAAATGCGTGTATATGGGGCACGCTAGACCGTAGTGGTAAAAGTCTTCCTGTGCAAGAGTCCCGCTTGAAAAGTAAACAGCCTGTTGCATACACCGAGTCGCCATGATACGAAGTAACGTGTTGAAGAACGGCCGCGACGGGATTACTGCTTCGTTCAGGGACTTTGAGAACGATTTGTTTGTCGATACGTCTAACTCGAAGCCCTGGAAGAACAATATATTCCCGTTTAATTAAGTAGTTTACGCGAGTAGTAGACATTTAAATAAAACACTTTAATGGTTTAAAACGCGATACATATTAAACTTATTTGAAAATTATAGTAAATACGGCACGACGTTTCGGATGCTTTGCAGCAGCCGTGATCACGGGGAGACTTTTCAAATAAGTTTAACTACTATATATCGCGTTTTAAACCGTTAAAGTGTTTTATTTAAATAAGTAATCAATTGTTTATTGAAAATTATGTTAATTAAGTTTAATCTTAAAAAGCTGGAAGGTCGATAGCTGAAACAATTTATTGATCGATTCTGTCGACCGTTGCTTATGCGTAAGACAAGGAAAGAGGCTAGCGCCGGCACGCGTTACGTGACACAGGAGTTTTCCGCCCAACACTTCGAAACATCACTTAGAAAGAATTTAATTTTGTTAATTCAGAATGTATAGAACAACCCGAGAAAACCCGATAAATCACGTATATAGTTTCTTATGTCATTAAAATACTTCGATCTTGTTCTTATTACAGCCTAAAATGATTACTTTATTATGTTTGAATAAGATGGATATAACACAGAAATAATTAGTTTCTCTTAATAATAATAATTTAAACTAAAAAAACAAACGCATAACGATGGTGATTTATAGATAACATTTGATGACTTTATAGCTTAACAATTTCTATATTAAAATCTGATAACTATATTAAAAATGCATGAGTATGTTCTCCAAGAAAGATTTTATACCTGTTGTGAAGCTGCCTTTAGGAAGGTGGTGAAATTCGCAGGCGGTGGTGCAGGATGCCTCCTAAGCAACGCACTTTGGGGAAATTCAGCTGCAATGTGTTGGGCAACACTAACATTAGCGAGCAACATGAACTCTTCTACCATGGAATTGGTGTCCAATATCCGCTTGGCCTGCACCTCCATTGGCTCATGGGTTTCGGAATCCACCTTTTAACAAAAGGAGACAGAATATTTAAAATAAACTAAACGGATTAAAACGTAAAAAGTTACATGTGACAACTTATTTATCATTAATTGTTTTAACTACAGCCCAACGTTTGGGATGCTTTGCAGCAGCCGTGGTCGGTTTTTTAATCTCTCATTTTACAGGGCCACAATTCGTGTTTTAAACCGTTTAAGGTGTTTTATTTACTTGCATAAATTGGTGAATATAACAACCCATTTTAGCAGACTTTAATTTGGTTAAAGTAAACTACATAGCTTTAGGAGTCAACATATTGTACGTAAAATAAACCAAGTCAAGCTACTAAAATTTCAGGGGTTTCGTTTCTTCGTCGTACCAGGTAATCCCAGTCTAATTACTGCAAAACCTTGAGACAAAGCCAAAAGGCCGATCTCATTAATCTTATTACTTTTAACACAAATTTCTAACTAGTTTACGATCACGACTTTCGCTACGTTGAAAAATTACTTTAATTTTTTAGGGGATTGTAATCTTTTTCAGTTACATTCGATTTTAATGAAATAAGGGGTATGTTACCACAAGCACGACGAATAAACTTTTTTCATTGTTTCTAAATTGCCCACCCCTCCCACATACCTCAAAACGGATTTCCGGCGAAGCCAGCAGCAATGCTCCATTGTCCAATCTCTTCTGCTTCAGTTTCTTGGCGAGAGCGTTAAGGGTCCTCAGCGAACTAGCTATTTCGTCTTTTCTAGAACTATCGTCTATTGCTATTTGCGCTTGCTCATATGTCATTGCTTCACGGGACTAAAAATGAAAATAGTTCTAGAAAAATGTTGGACTGTGGTAGATGTTGGTTAGTGTAGGGTTCAAAATTTTTCTAAAGAACTTCATATTTTTTCTAAAACGTGTTGGACTTCGTCTGGAAATCTGGATATTAAACAAATGGTAGGAATATCGACATTCCGACCGGATCACAACCCACCGTCCACACATGAAAGGGCAAAGTTTAATCACGTTTCGGTTTCAGTGGATTTCCGAATATCCAAATCCATAATATCGACAGGGTGGGGTATTTCATCTCAAAGTCCCATTCCCAAACGAAATGTTGTTCCAGTAAAGTGCATAACTCACCTTTATTATACTTTTATGGAATTTTGTGTTTAGGACATTAGCGTTTTCGTCTATCTCCCAAACGCAAGAAAACGCAAACCTTTCCTCACCACCCCGAAGTGAACACAGATTTGAACTTAGTAAGTCTGAAATAAATAAAAATATAGTAGAAACATAATATATATGTAAACAGCTTGTCTTGTGTTCTTTTTTTACAAATTCACTATTTTTTATGTTTTTAGAACAGATATTTTTTTCACTTGCTTGTGGCACCGCTGTCTACTCTCTAAGCACTTACTGAAAATCTGTTTGAAGTCATCAAAGGACCTGCAATAAGCTATGTAAGATCCTATTCTACCAAAAAGCAGCACGCAACATTAATTTAAACTGTTAAGATGAAGAGATACTGTTAAGATAAAATTATGGTCTTTTTCATTGTTACTTGAAATGCTTATCTTTATTTTTGTATTTAGTAATAAGCCTTATATGTTTTTATGCGGCTCAGGTAGTAAATAAATTTCTTTCTGTCTTTCTATAAACAGCTTTGTGGTTTGTATACTTTTTTTTTTGTCACAAATGTTTTAGGGCAATTTACAAGTTCAAGCGCCTAAATTTGAGTAACTTAATAAATCGTACCCGGTACCATATCTATCCTTTTGCCCACCAAGTAAACAGTGGTGGAGCGCGACGCCGCTTCCTTGTCAAGCGCAGTATTTGGTCTGACGAAGTACGTCACATCTGCTATATGTACTCCGACCTCGTATTTCTTCAGTCCATCGGTGGTCGTATCGGCGAGTGGGCGAGCGTGCAAAGCATCATCAATATCGGTACAGCCCGGGGGATCCACCGAACACACGCATATGGAGCGGAGATCAACGCGTTTCTTTATTTCCTAAAAAGCAACGAATTATTTTATTACTAGGATTACTAGATTCAGTTACTAAGCGTGATTAGAAGTCATTCTCATTCATTCAGTAATGTCTGTAGTTTACGCGAGTAACACATTTAAATAAAACAGTTTTAACGGTTTAAAATGTGAAACGCGCTGTTACCTACTATAAGTGATACATTTCACGTTTTAAACCGTTAATAGTGTTACATATAAGTTATTTATAACAAAACAAATATTGGATAACACTTACCGAAAAGATATAAGCATTTTGCGTTATTTTATTAACTTAATTTTTAAATTATTTGAGGGTTTAATTTTTAATCAACCATAATCATTCTATAAGGTACCAATATTAATAAGTTTGGTTATACAGGATGAACTTTTATACCTCGTCAGGAATGGTCCAGTTGTCAGGTGGCAGACATGCTAAAACCGCTTCGCTGAATCGAGCATGTGGTACGTCGTGTTCTAACAATATCACTTCGTTTTCAGCGTCTTTGTCACCTGATAATAATACACGTGGTTTTACATATATCTTAGATTATGTTATAATTAAATATATTATATAATTTAACTTTACTTGCAATAGTAGAATTAACACTAGAATATGTAAACGAAACTCGTTTAAGAGCAAAGGAACTAATTACAAAGTAAAGTAGGTAGGTAAAGGAACTAATTCTAAAAATTATATAGTTTTTTTATTTTATTTAGTTTTTTATATTATTAGAAATTCAATGCTAATATTACACCGAGACCGACACTTGAAAAGATGATGCATTGTTTAAGTTTATTCTTACCAATAGGTCCTAAGGCTCTTACAAAATGTCCCAGCGGATACCGACTGTTCCTAGGCCAGGAATCAAGAGCTACCAATATACGCTGAGAGGCTAACAGGTCGCTCTGTCTTGTCTCTATTCGTACTCGCGGTATCCTCTTCTCTGCCGGTGTAAATAAATGCCTTGTGGCCCCTGTTACAAATTTTTATTAACTTTGATTTCAAATTTGATCAGTCACTGAACAGTTCCTATAGCACTAAGACTTTAGTCTGAGTTTAATTCGATTAGTTTAGTATTAATATATTTTATATGTATTAAAGTTTTAAACATTAGCATATATAACACAGTAGAACTATGTTGTTCCCTCCACCGTAACCTCCAAAGCACCGTAGCGGTGCTTTGGAGGTTACGGTACGGAGCGGTGGTGTATTTAGTGGTTCTGGTCGGTTATTGTCACCAAGGAGATTGTAGTACGCCTTACCACAGTTCCGACGTCGTTATTGCTCGACGTTGGCGTACGATAGGCTTTCACACCATTAGTAAAAAAAGACTAAAATTTAAAGTGAAGAGCAAATCTTGCCAGCAAGTTAAGAAAACACAATTTTTTTGTCTGACCTGGAAACTTGCTAGGCATCAGAATTCCACAATATTGGCGCCACTTCCTTTTGATAATCCCTACCACTTTTCCAGTGGGACTTATATCTGCACTTGCTGCAGATTTTGCGTTATTTAGAAGTATAGACTCTTCTTCAAGAAAATCCCCAGGATCATCTGCTTTATCTTCAAGTACAATATCACTTGGTTTTCTCCACTCCTCTTCAGGAAAAATCTCAATAGCTACGATGTCACCATCAATAGCTCTGTTTATACCAATGTGGCCTTGAAGTAGAATCTAAAGAAACAAAATAGTCATCTGTATAAAGAATAGCATAGCAATATTAAATTAATTTTATTAATTGTAAGTTCCATTACAGCAAAAAAAATGCACTATTTACACAAACAGAAGTGGTTTTTATAAAACAAAGACATTATTTTACGTTTCTTATTAAAGCAACGTTATTAGATTTATTACAATTTATGAAACAACATACCTGTTTTTCATAGCCAGAAATTGTTGCAGAGCCTTCCAAAAAGTTGTCTCTCGATGCATAGAAAGTACCCTGATGTAGTTTACCATTTCGAATACCAGTATGTATTTGAGACGGAGTCAAATGTGGTGGGTATAAGGCATCTTTAGAGCTACTCTCAGGCATCACATTTTTAGACAACTTATCTATTAAGCCAGGGAATCCGTTTGTATTTTCAATGTAATCTTTGACTGAAAGAAAACATGTATACAAAATTACACCTTGGGATTTTAGTTCATTAGAGACATAAAAATTAAACGCATTAAAACATGATATAATGAAGTTTTGTGAGAAGCTTTTTAGCCCATACAGAATAAAATGTGGGTGTGATTCCCATCAAATCTAACAGGTTAATAAATTATTTTAGGATTTTTCTGAAACATATAAGACTTTTAACAAATTATTTATCTGATATTTGTCCTCTGGCCAACTAATATATTATATATACAATGCTTTTATGGAATTTAAAGTCAGATTAATAAAGTCAGGACATATGATCAACTTTTTCCACACTATTTCATAACAACCAAAATAACTCTGACAAGATATTTATATAACAGAGAAGAAGAAAGAATGATTACCCGAGCAACAAACAATGCTCTCTTCTTGGGCCAGTTTTCTATTGGTTTCATCATCAGTAAGTAGTACAACTTGCAGGAATTGACCAGCCCCCTTCTTAGACAAATGCCCAGAGTACCATTTTGCAGCTTTACGAATAGCTCTATCATTCCTATCATTTGCTTTCTCTCCAGGCTTTCTTTCAACATAGGTATCCCTAAGATACAATAAAATGTAAGTTATCGGATCTATCATTCTTACTGAGGGGTTGGTAAAAAAATATATATACATACTTGTGGTGTTCATTAACAAATGAATAGAACTTTCTTTTCTTATTTCCAACAATCTCCAACAATCTTTGGAAGATAGCTGTGTTTTGATGCTTTACTTCTTCGAGAACCGTTTGTAAAATAATCACATTTTTCAAAGCATCATCTTCGAGAATGTCTATTTGGTGAAGTACAACATTTGTGTCAAGGATGAGATAGTGATTGTAGTCAAACAAAGCACATATTGAGTCTGGAGTGGAATCCAACACTAGTTCATCATTCTTATGAGGACAGACATTGCAAGCTGCTGAGCCACATAACAAATCATCTCTTAAGTAATGCTCCCGTACAATCTGAATGAAACAAATAAAAATAATTTATTATTATTGTAAGAAACTAATTACAGTTTTATACGTCCTAATTCGTCGGCCTTATAAATCTATCACATAAATCACAGCAAAACACCGCATAAAGTAGATTGTAAATATAAAAGTAACCTTACTTTTAAAATGTTCCCTCGCTTCGTTTTCGTTAGGAATGTTTTAGTGGTCCAAGTATTTGTGGCAAGTCGAGTCATTCTTACAGAGTACTTTATTAAGCACTGAACTGTTATAATTTAATATTTTGTTACCGTGTACAATTATGTAGGAGGTTCACAAAATTCACACATTTGAAAATACTATTTTTATTATGACAGTTGCCAAGGCATATGCCCTTGTCAACTGTCATTTTATTACTACATAGTATATATATATTATCCTATCTATGGTAACTAAACACAACTATGTTTTTGATCTGCAGTAATTTCCACAGACAACGACGATATTAACAAGATTCCGCCTGCCTTAATGAGCTATCTATTAGGGTATAATATTATAGCTGTAAATATCAAAAGATAATGAAACATATTCGTGTTTTTTTTTTAAATAAATTAACATTAGTAATAACTTTGTTTTAAGATATACATATCTTTTTCTATTTGATATGTCAAGTCTTTTTCTTGTCGTGGGTTAATCGTAAGTTTAAAATTACATTTCTATATTATTTTTCGTTTAGGATATTGTACATATAACAATATAGTAAACTATAAAAACCGTTGTGTATTACTTTAGTGCTTTTTGTTTTGGTGTGTGATTAATGTTTCTTTATTTGATATTTACATGTTACTCAATCGTTGCAACACTAGGTCATAGAGGTCGACACCATATTATAATTAGATAATTTATTATGCATTTCAATATAGGTTATTATTATTTTATCTTAGATAAATTGTGAGACCTCGCCTATAAAATATCATTCCGCAGCAGGTTTTGACTTTTGTTGTGGTGGAGGTGTTGATTGCTGTAATGGGTGCGAATAGTTTTGCTCTGAAATCATGTTACGGCGCAGTAAAATATTATTTACTAAAATAAAAACTTTCATTTTATATTTTTTATGAGTTTCAAAACGTCGCATTTTTTTTGTTGCCGTAATAAACAGGAATGCCTGAAAGTTGAATTTACTACATTTATTTTATAAAACCTGAGTACTCATATTGAATAATGTAAGATTGTTCGTGTTTGTTTTGGTAATAATTTATCGCAATGAGTATGCAGGCTAAAAATAGTATTTTAGCCAAAGGCGAATGAACGTTTAATAAAGGCATTTGATTTGCATAACATCGTATAGTGTAAATTACAACTTAAACGGGTTGCGGTACAGGCATCGCTACCAAAGGAAGACAATAAACACTACGCTACATTCGTGACACATAAAGATAAATCGACCACGGACCACGCCGCGGCCGCCGTCAGTATTGCTCGGATCGCTCAGCTGATACCAAGCCGCATAATCTGTTTACAACTCAGACGTAATATTATGTTGCTTTTTCGGAACACCAAACTAATACTATCCACCGAGCGGTCATCAAACTGTAAATGTGTGTAAACTATATGTGACAAAAACGTTCGCCTGCAGCGCGAATAATACCAGTGATTTTTCGTGAATACGTGAAGTGATTTATAACTTTACCTATGCCTAGTAAGAAGAAAATTAAGTCTCCTCAAGAAGTATGGGAAAGTTTATCTTCTATTTTTGTTAATTTTGTCGAGACGGTATTTTTTAATTTGGGAGTAATTGTTGGCAAGCATCCATGGAGAACGATTGTTGTCTCTTGGACGGTTGTACTTATAAGTTGCACCGGCTTACTAACATTTTATATAGAAAAAAATCCCATGAAGTTATGGGTCCCGCCCGAATCCGATTTCTATCAAGACACCAACTGGTATATAGATAACTTTGGAACTAATTATCGTCTCCAAAAAGTTCTAGTCACCGCTGATAATGTCCTCGACTCCGAGGTACTTCAGATAATTAGAAATATTACAAATCGAATAGATTCTATCACAATTCAACATAAGGACAAAACGTATGCAGTGAAGGATTTGTGCTTCAAAGTACCGATTGTTAATATCTTTGATTCAAGTGGAAAATCTAGATCTGAGGATGAAATACCTAAATCGACAAAACCAACCAATACTAATTACGTTGATAATACCCTATGGGTAGACGACGATTTTTACTGTGGATTTCTGGAATCATTTCAAATGACATGTCTGCGGTACAACTTGCTGGATTTATGGCGAAACGATTTCGAACTTATAAATAATGCTTCGAAGGAGGAAATTATAAAAAAAGTTAATGGTGTAAAATTCAATCCAGTTTCCGGCCATCCTGTAGATTTCGTCAAAACATTGGGTGGCATACAGCGGGATGAGAGCGGTGTTGTTATATCTGCTAAGTCTATATTAATAAATTGGTATATGACTGTAAATATGACATCTGTCAATTTAGATGAAGTTGGTAATCTCATAGGTACAGAAGATTGGGTTTCTATTGAATTAGCATTATGGGAACAAGAATTTTTGGATTATATTAAAAGTGTAAACCACGAAGACAAGGGAATTCGTTTATTTTACGAAGCCGGTCGAAGCTTTGCGGATGTAAGTGGAGAAGCTATGTTTCAAGAAATGGATAAACTTGCATTAGGTATAGTTTTAATGTTTTTCTATATATTAATTGCGGTATCTCGATGTAATTGGCTGGAAGTTAGGGTTACTCTGGGTAGCGTAGGGTTGTTAGGTGTAGGTATGTCATATGTAACTGCCGTGGGGTGGTGTTCAATTCTAGGCATTCCGTTCGGGCCAGTGCATTCGTCGCTGCCTTTTCTTTTAATGGGTCTCGGAGTTGACGACATGTTTGTCATGAATGCTTGTTGGAAAATCGTAATGGCTCACGATTCTCACAAAAGTACACCTGTTAAAATTGGCCTGATGTTGAAACACGCCGGCGTGTCCATTGTTATTACTTCGTTTACAGACATTGTTGCTTTATTGATTGGAGCCATAACTATATTGCCTTCACTAAAATCTTTTTGTATGTATGCAGCAATGGGCGTCTTCTTTGTGTTCTGTTATTCCGTTACGTTTTATGTAGCAGTATTTACATTAGATCTAAGGAGAATCGAAACAAAACGGAACGGTGTTCTCTTTTGTTATCAGCACAAAAATGAAGTTGCCATTTCTACAGAAAAAACGATGTTCCAAAAAATGTTAGACAATTTTTACAAAAACATTATTTTCACTAAGGCTGGAAAGTCATTTATAATACTCTTCACGGTGATTATGTCCGCAGTTAGCATAAAAGCGATTCTCAAATTGGAACAAAGATTTGATCCAAGGTGGTTTATACCCGAAGACACCTATTATAAAGATTTCATTAATATGCACGAAATTTACTACCCAGAAGAAGGTCATCCAGCGATGATCTTTATGGGAAAGATGAATTATTCGACCGAATTCGGAAATATTTATAATATGGTGCAAGAGGTACGTAAACAATCCTATATTACCGATGTCGTAACATGGGTTGAGCATTTCCATGGCTATGTTTTACAAAATCACGGACGCGACTTGAGAAATTCGTCGTCTATTAGTACAACAGATTTCAATAAATACTTATCAAGGTTTTTGTTTAGTCCCGTAGGAGGTCGATTCCAGATAAACTTGAAATTTTCAGAACCGATTAGTTGCGGTAAACCTGTGTCCGAATTAATAGCTTGTTCGATGTCATTTAGTTTTACCAAGTTCGGTGGTCCAGAGGAATACATACCTGCCATGAATAACGTAAAGCATATTGTGAAGTACGCAAACATTTCAACAGGAGATGGCTATCGTTCTGTCTGGTCAAAAGCCTTCGCTAACTGGGTCACTGATGAGATCATCGCTGTTGAAGTCGAAAGAAACATTGAATTGGCTCTTATATGTGTCATGGTATGCACTGTTATATTAATCACTAATCTACAAATGTGTTTATGGATATTCATTTGCGTATTACTCACAATAATTAACGTATTAGGTTGTATGCAGCGTTGGGGAATGACGGTCGATATAGTCTGTTGTATCGGCTTGGAGCTTGCGATAGGCTTATGCGTCGATTATGCGGCCCATGTAGGGCATTCGTTCTTGACATTCACTCAAGGAAATCGAAACGAAAGAGCCTTTCAGACGGTCACGTCGATCGGAACAGCTGTTTTACTCGGCGGTGGATCCACTCTTCTTTCACTTTCGCTCCTTAGCATGTCTAAAACATATACGTTCCAATCATTCTTTAAAATATTCCTTCTAGTAATTATTTTTGGTTTATACAGCGGTTTATTGTTTTTACCTGTAGTTTTATCGTTAGTTGGCCCAGCGGGCTACGTGAAGAAAGACGAGGACCACGGTGTTCCAGAAGCGGTCGAATTAAATGGAAAATTTAACGAGAAGGAAAAACCCAGTGATGACAGCTGAAATTAACGCATATTATTAATTATCGTACCTGCTTGTATAAATTTTTACATACAATATTAGCATCTTCATTCAATTTACACGTTTCAGATTTTATTTTCGCTATTAAAATTTTTCACGATAATGCTATCGCGATAACGATTTAGCGTTTTTCGAAAAATAGGATATGCATGCCGGTTTATCTCTATACTTGCGGATTGGGGGGATAAAATTGTAATAATAAGTAATTTATACTATATTTTTAACAAGGCACACATCAGTATATAATAAAACAGTGTTAAACTTAAGTCGAGAAGTCGTTGATGTTATGTTTCATCATTAATGTTATCATATTGTGAAGTACTTTACTCCCGCAATGGCCGAGCTGGATGTATTTATAACAGCTATTATGTTAATTTCTTTGTTCTTCACATATGTAAGCTCTCTTTTATACGACGTAAGAAGAACTTTGTAATCATATTCTCGTTTTAATAAACAAAATAGTGAGATTAATAGTAGATTATATATTTTTGAATATGGAATGAATGTAAACCTGGTTTGTTTACGGATGTACATAATATTCTAGAGAACTGAGGTTGTAGTCTTTTACAAACGTCATAGGCTGCTTACAGAGTAACGGCACAGCTTTTTAGGAAGCATAAATCACCCCGCAATGTTTCAATATCAATGCAGACACTGTGGCGTTTATAGGCGACACAGCTTTCTGAAAGCGATTTGTTTAGTTTTAAGTTTAGGGTTGCTCAATACGTGAACAATCGAATACAATTTCAATGAATATTGCTCAATGTATATTGAAAAATATCAATGCAAATAATTCTACTTAAATGCCAAGAGATTAGAAATTCATAACAAGTAGTACCTGTAAGGAAATTAGTTACCGTTATGGCTTACATGTTTAAAAGAAAACATTTTTGTGTGTCTATTGTCAGTTGTACTTTTTAAACAAACTACTCTGGTAATTTAAAAGATTACTTAATACTGTTTTAATGAATTCTTGGAATGTACCATTTAATGAGCACAGTGCATTTTTGATATGTGTAAAATATGATAACACACACAAAGGAGAACTATAGTAATATAAAACACAAGGCTTAGTAATTGTATGTTACAATAAGTACTCGCTGTTACGTAAACAATTAATATAATTATTATCGTCAATTATCGTTGCCAATGCATTATGATAAAATTATTGTGCACTCTACTAAATTGTTGTCTTTATAGTATTTTTATCAACATGTATAAAATAAGCATTAATTTAATATAAGTTAATTTTAAATCTGATTGTACATAATTTACATTTGTTAGTTGTTAGTTAACTTTAAGAAGTTTTGTAATTATGATTTGATCCAGCGTTTACCTCGATATTAAACAATTGATAGAAAGGTTACACATCTTTTAATTCTGTCATGGACTTCGATTTTTAAAACCACTGAGCATAGAAGACCCTTACCCTTTATAACTTTAACCCTTTATAGTGTTTTGATTTTCCGTAATGCGAACGGGATTTCGATATTCCTCCAACCTGTTTTAAAATTTTAGTCAGACGTTAGTTCCGACATCTTAATATTTGACAGGCTCGTTGGAACAAAATGGTAACAATATAATAAACAATAAGTCAAACGGATCGTGTGTCCATTCCAACCGGTTCCAACATATTTTTTAATCAATCTATAATTTTTCTGGAATCTATAATTTCGATATTAAATAAGTGGTAGGTTAATTACCATCCGGGTCACGAACCGCCGTCCTTAGATAAAAAAGCCGTCAATTGTTTCTGTTTCAATTTATCCGAATATCAAAAATAGGTCTACATCTAGCTTAGATGTTATATGGCTGGGTATTTTACCTACCATAAGTACTTCGTATCTCTGTTCTTTTCTTCCAAAAAATAAATAAATAAAGCAAATCTGCTAGACTCAAATCTACGTCAATCATTAATAGCTAATAAACAATATAATATCTACCAAAGAATCCGTGGAAACGGCATTTTTTTTACATCCTAGAATTCGTATTAAAGATTCAAATCAAAGCACTTTTAAAATAATTAAAACTAGTTTGTACTAGTAATTTTGCCTTAAGAATGTAGGCTCAGTAAAGTAAATAGGTAAGGCAATAACTACTCGCCCATAATTATATTTCATTCAGTCAATGAATAATTATTAATGTTAACTAAAATCAAAACGTGATAATACATTATTTTATTTCTGATAAATGTATTTTCAACAATTACTTTAGTTGCGTTGTTATTATGTGCTTTTAGCTTTTTTATCTTAGTTCTAAGTCAATTAAAACGCAACATTTAATTAGTGTGAGGCAAACGCCGTGCTATTAAAGTGGCGTTAAATAAATTATAATGCATTATCCTATTATGCATTGTACTGAGATCGGCTAGCTAGTACATATTAAGTGATTGGGATTATGATATTATTTATTTTTGCAAACAACCTCCTCAGCTCTTGATTTATAGCTGTTACCTACGACATCGTCCTCGTTACGTCGTTCTTGAAAGTTTATCTTAAAAGATAGAAGTATACTGTCGAGGCATCATTATTTTTTACATCACGTTCTTTTTCACATTTTTACACAGCCCTCCTCTATAAATGATCCAACCAACATATTTTTTTCCAATTCGAACCAGTAGTTCCTGAGATTAGCGGGTTCAAACAAATTAACTCTTCGGTTTTATCTTATTATAGATTAATGCAACGTCACACACGTGATAAGGTTAATCATTCCTATATTATTATATATATTCCTTCACGATTATATGCTTTATAAACTGGTTTAAAAGCGAAATATATTAGTTATTTTAATTATATGTAGTGAAAAGTATTTTATTTTATTGTGAATTACTCGCGTAAACAACAAATCATAATGAAAAATTATGTATATTGTTCAGAGCAAACTACTATGTAAGAAAATCGATCAATGAATATACAGAAATACGGTCGCCCTACATCGATCTATGTCTCGCGTAGCAAAACCGGATTTTACTCTTTTAAGATGTCTTATCATATCCAGTATAAACATAACATATATAGATAAAGTTTTAATCGACCATTCACATTTGCTTGAACTTGGTTATCAACTATTTTTTCTATCCTTAGCAACTGTGTTTTTTTATGATAGAAGAGGTCAGACAAGCATGGCGTACACTTGAGGCTAGGAGAATACATCTAGACAGTGCATCTAAAAAAAATGCGATGTCGACATTATTTGGATTTGGATGTTCGGATATCTATAGACTGAAACAGAAACGCGATTAAACTTGACGGTTTTTTATCTGTAGATGTTATTTCGTGACCTGGACGAAATTTAGATATTTCTACCACCCGTTTAAAATTAAACGTCCAGACGAAACCCAATATGTTTCAGAAAAAATATAAATTGCTTAAAATCGAATATATATTAAAAATATACAATCGAATTTTAATTTTTATAGTGCCATTACATGTGAAAAATATTAAAGTTTTCAAAATTATAAATTGATTTGAAAAATGTTGGCCCACGTCCCGTTGATTTATTAGCCATACATTGCTACAATTATACCAACGGGGTGTGTCTTCCATAAATTGGATAGTAATTTATGAATTAGTTGAATGAAGTAAATGGGATCTTAATGATGTTGCCGAAACGTTCCGTTTTGCCGGATATCCTGATTATTGTTACCTATTCTTGTCGATGGAGACTTGAGCAAAGTAGGTCATTGTTTGTACCTGTACTTACTTAACATGCGATTAGTGCCATCGCTACTAAAATACTATTTGATATTTATCACGAACCAAATAGTGTTGCCAGGTTTTTTTTATTATTTTTAGTACAAAAGCGAGATTTTTGCCTAAAGCGTGAGAATAGATTTTATTTATTTGGCATGCAGTTTTATAAACATATATTTAAAACAAAAAATACCACATCCTTGTATTGTTAAGTCTAACAGAAACCACAATTAATACTGATTTAAAATACTAAAAAAGCCTTGTAGACACCAATTTTATTCTTTACGTATTTTGAATTTTCTCAATTTAATAAAATAAAAATTTAAAACATCATAAACATGGATATTTCTTTTGTAAAGCCCATTTAACATACAGTATAAAATAAATTTAAGATTTATTTTTTGCATAATTTAAGTTTTATTTAACCAAATATAAAAAATAGAAAAATTAAAGATTAATGTTTTTACATGAAAGAAGAAAAGTAAAGCCAAGTATTATTATAAGTATATATGTTTGAAAACTGTATTATTTTTTACATGTTATTGCACACGCAGGCACTATATAATTTAAAAATCGAAAATAAATTGCAATTCGCACGATTTTTCTCTGAATATATTTTTTTATGAATTTACTGTGACTCTCACTTATAGATAAGGCTAGTGACGTCAGCTTATCTCGCAACATTTTACGATTTTGAAACTCGTGTATTTGACTTCCCGTGGCTAATTAAGGAAATGTTCAATATTATTGTTAATGGATTCGCAAACTTTGGGCTATGTCAAACGTTTATCTCATTAATAGTTAACCATGAAATTGTTGCGGCTTCACTCAAGCGCTTAGGTAACGGTCTAATATAAACTGCGGTCTCAAAGAGCGTTTTGTGTTACGGTGCTTAGGTACTATTCGTACATTCTCTCCAAACTTTTAGGCCTGGCTGAAGTTAGCGCGACCTCCATCTTGCGCATGATAATGTCAATTTTAAGCAAAAAGTCGAGTAGCCGTGCACCCGCGCACCCCTCTTGTAGCAACTGATACCTGCTTTTTGGGTTCTACGCAACCATCCGCGCTTACTTGAGCCCGGAATATGACTGATGTTGTCTCTTTCAGAATGAGTCTGTACAAGTATACGAGTACTACATTTAAGAATGATTGCATCGTAAACTTAGAATCGGACGTGATAATTGTTTGTCAACTATTAAAGAAAACGTCCTTCTTACATGAGATATACTGAATAATCAAATTAAATCTTTTAAATAAAACACTAACGGTTTAAAACGCGATATATTA